GATGCTTATAATACGAAGCCTCGAGTTCTCCATCGTACGAGAGTCCTTGGCTTTTGCAAGGATTTTTTTTCTGCTCTTTGCTTTGTCCGTCGAAATTCGCGCGACGCGTTAAGTATATATTCCCCCAATGGGCTGTGCCGCGCAACAGCAGCTGCTACCTCCGCCGCTGGATCACTCGAGGCAGAAAAGAGAGAGAGAGAGAGAGACCGAGATGCAAAGCCAAAAGAACCAATGTATCGGCCTTTGATTCCGAGGCTCTGTATATATCTGTATATTATGGCTGCTGCCTCGGCTGTACTACTACTGGCTTGTCCGCATTGTCATTTCCTATAAAGATAAGGATCGATTGCTGCGGAGCCGTAGAAACGATGCATTTCCTACCGCACACTTTTCCGCGGATGTACAGCCCCTCGCGCACCGATCTTCTACTATATACGTACACGGAGCCTCGTATATACTGCCTCGTGAACAAAGAACGATCTAATCGAATCCCATATAGGGACGCGACACACATATACACATACATACACGCGCTATGTACAAGCTTTAATCAAGTTTCATCCCCTTTCCGCGGAAATCCAATTTCGCACCTACTTCTTTTCTCTGACACAAACACGCCTACTTCTTTTTCCGCTGCTGCTTTTTCTTCTTTTACGTCGTCGTCGTCTTCTTCTTCTTACTCCTTCTTCTTTTGGCGCGAATAAAAAACGATAATACTTTTAAAGGCCAGTCCTGTAGGGTCCGCGCCATATGTATATAGGTATAGGTATACATTGGCAGGGCACAACACTGTTATATCTGGGTAATTGTACGAATGACGGAGTAAATACCAGATTAAAACTACACGAATATTGGCTCGAATTCTTTGCTGCATGACACGCACACATGCCGAAAATTCAGATTGACACCGCCGCGCGTGTGCCTCTCGATACCCACACTATATACACGCGGCGATGGTATATGTACTCCAATTACACATTTGAGCAGAGAGCAGCAGAGTTCGTCCGGATCGCTGCGTGCGATCGAGCGTGCGGATAAATACCGGCCTTCGATTTGCATAGCTGGGCATTTCTGCACCACCTGTTCTCTCGCCTCTCTTTCAATCTGTGCTTTTGCATAAACACGAAAATTCCTCGAATATTTCTCATGGCTCCTCGGGATCCGCCGCTGCTGCTGCACCATCAACATCCCCCCTAATGCCAGCAGCAGCTCTTCTTTTCTTCTCTCGGGGTTTCGTCATTCTCGCGCTGCACCCATATTAGTACCGCGATATTTAGAGGTACGAGCCCCGAGGATCGTTACCGCGTATATCGTAACGCGCGACAGACAGATGTTGGCCGCGCGCCGCCGAGGCATCCTTGCATTGCGTGTTCTCTCGCCGAATTACATCGTACAAATTCCTCTTCGATTTTTTTTCCTCATCGTCGTTTTTCTTGTTATTGTTCCTCCTCCCGGCACACTGTATGCGTGTACTAACGCGTAGGCGTTCATTTTATATACATAACGTATCGTACAGGAATGCGTCGAAAATTTTTCCCAGCTCCAGCGAAATAATATGCCGTGGACCATATGTCTCGTCCGTGTGTTTGTTTAATTTTCTCCTTGACATATACGCCGCGCCGCGCTTAAATAATGCGAAAAAGCCGCTCGCTGCATACGTACGCACGGCTCCCTTTGACAGTCGAATTTCGCTCGGACGCTTGTGTTTGTATATATAGTCATATCACAACACGACGCTATGTTATGCGTGCGTGTAGTCCTTCTCGTTTCTTTGACACGAGCTCGGACCTGTATGATATATAATTGAAAAATTAAGCGTAGAGCTGCTATATCGGCTTTAATACGCGCGCAGAGGCGTACGTACGTGTATAATGGTAAATGTAGAGGAAGGCTATAATATATTATACGCGGCGCGAGTATGAAAAGATTTCGCTCAATTTCCAGCACTATAGCTGCTGTTAGCTGCTGTACCGGGTCGCAGGATTTAATTCCATATTCTACGAACAAATGACCAACGCAGCAGCAGCAGCGGCGGCGGCAGCAGCTATATTGGGGCTCTATGTCGTCGTTTTATCCCGAAATGAGTCGGGGGAGCAGCTACCAAATTAGAATCTCGATCAAGACACTAATCGCACGTGTTGGGTTTTTTTTGTCGTACGGAAAATCCCTGCTAAAATGACACGTGCGTTGTGAAAGCTGCAGTGATTCAATGAGTCGATGAAATTGAAAAGAGCTCGAAACTTGATAGAGAATATTTGAATTTTCGGCGAATTCGTTTGATGTAGCAGTGATAATATCATAGAAATGTGCACTCATGAAGATTTTCTATAAATTCGACTAAAAAACTGAATTCCATCTATGAGATATGCCAAAAAGCCAGATTGATTGCTTTGAATCTCATTTTCACATATTTCAACTCACCCCCTGATATATAAAACGCTTTATATAGTTGTTGTGATTATTATACGTCCATTGAATTATAAATGATAAAGAGTGAAAACATTTTTGCGTGTCGCGCACGTCGGGACCAAAATTGCGCCGCAGGAAGACATTATATATTTATAAAAAGTTCGCGTACACACATACACGCTGCGCGTTCGGTGCTCTGCGTGCGCCACGCAACGCAACGTTCTTCTCTCTCGACGCAAAACTCGATATGAATAATTACGATGCCACGCGGCGGCGGCATCGTCGTCGTGTGCTGTGCCCTGTTTATCGTGTTGTTTGATCACTTAATTTTTCGACCCCCTCTCCCTCTCTCTCTCTCTCTCTCGCTGTACACATTTTAATTTTGCAAAAGGCTATAAAAGAACAGCTTATACATTAATAGTTTGTGGAAAAATTATTAAGGCGCGCGCATATAACAAGAATGGAACACTCACAAATACAGCAGAAGCAGCAGACAAAGTGAGGTCCGGTAATATCATTACGGAATAGTTAACGCAACAGTTAAAACTATACGCGTGCTAGGCGGACCCAAGCTTTTGTATTATAAAACTTTGCCTCTAGCTTTATTAGCTCCACCAACTTTTGATACAGAGCTTTTTTCCTCGCTGCCGCACGCGGCGACGGTGCATCGTTTAAGCGCTCGAGCCCGCGCGCGTACGTTCCTTTTTTTTTCATACTACGCAACGAGAATCTATTTTTTTTTTTTTTTGTTCTGCTCTCTGTTTCACGGCTGAAAAAGTGCAGTACGCGCGCATACTAGCTGGCTAGCTAGCTGGTCAACCAGCAGCCCTAGGCCGTAAAGAATTTTTTCATTAAACTAGGCGTTACATAATCACAATTACTCTGTGGCCAGCAGCAGCAGCAGTGGACGCTATGTAACAAAGCGTTTGCAAGCTCGGCTGCAAGCTCACCCACCCCTCGGTTGGATATAAATATAGATGTTAAATTTTGATCAGAATTTAAGGATCTTGAATACGTCGAGAGCAAACCGCGAAGGATGTGTTCGATTAATATAATACATACACACCGCGCGCGCATGTATAAATTGGGAAATTCGCAGTGAAAATTTAACTAATCAATAGCCACGCGTACTACACGGGCGAACTCAAGCTTCAAACTAATCATTCTCCATGCATACTATACACTATATGTATTCAAAAACGTGCTATATATATATAGCCAACCGAGTATGTACGTATACGGAGTATAAAGTCTAAGTAGTCGCTCGGAGGTAAGAGAGAGGCTATTCTCTCTCTTCTCTTCCCTCGAGCTGCAGAATTCGGCAGCTAAGTGCTTGACTCATACCCCCCCGAACCGAACGAGCGAACGCGCCAGACGATGCTATACATAAGACTCTTACATGAGGCAGCAGCAGCAGCAGCACATCTATATAGAAGGATCCGCCCTGGTCGTGTTATAGTCGAGAAAGAGAAGAAGAGGAAGAGTCTCCTCCAGCCCACACTGCGCCGCGCGCCGAGGCTGCTGCTCTAGGCTGCCGCCAATCCTATATAACCAGCAGCCTCGCACACAGCCATGCAGGTTTCGCCCTAACGCTGCGCTAAGCAATCTTATCGTCCTCGAGTCTCCCGAATCTTCTTTACGTACCTCTTTTCACGGGGTGCATGTTGTGTGGAGCTGCGGCCGCCGCCGCTGCTATAGGCCACATAAGTAGAGGAAAAATCCGAAAAATTCTCTCTCTATCTCTCGGAAATGTGCTTTCTCAAGCTTGTGCTTGTGTGCTTCTGGCGGCGGTGGAGAAGGAGGACGAGATTTTCTATATACGAACGCGAACGTGTGTATAATGCACACACATACGTGCGAACAGAAGAGGGATTAAGGGATATTTTTTTCGATAAGAGGACGACGATTTTCGCTTTGTTGCAGCTAATTTTTCAGCAGCTCGCATGCTTATGTGTGTGTGTGTGTGTGTGTGTGTGTGTGTGTGTGTGTGTAGAACATCGGGCTAGACGCGCCGGCCCTACAGATAGAAAAAAGCGCTTGACCTCTCTCTCGGCTCTAACGACTTTTTATACAGCAGTTGTAAGCTCCGAAGGATTTTCGTAAATTCTACGAGGGATAATATTATGTATCAGTTGACCTTTGCCCGAATTAATACAAACACACTTGTTTCTATGGAGAGTCGTGTAGAAAAATTGCTCCCGTGGACTTAGTTTTTTCACAACATTAGTGGAACTTGTGAATTATTTTTTGCCTCTTTCTCCCATTACTATGTCTGCGTGTGCTCTTATTACAAGCACGCATACGTGCTGGGTGAAGCTTAACTTTTTCAACGATTTAAACATATTTGCAAGTATATATGCGTAAGAGAGAGAGAGAGAGAGAAAAAAAAAGTTAACTCGCGCGCGCAATAACATAATTTTCTTTTGAGTTCGCGCGTAGGTACGCATCAAAACTGCGAGTCAACAATTTATTCGAGCAAAATTAACGTTATATAAATGTGCATAAATACTTTTGCGCGCATTCGTATAAATGAATGTTTATTAAAAGAAAAAGTAATTGCTGTAATGTTCGTTATATTTTGTGTGTTGCAGGAAATATCAAAACTAAAGCCGTGCTCGACGTGGAGACCAAAAATGGATATTGGCTAACGGTTTACGCCCAGGATCACGGCGTCGTTCCGCTCAGCTCGAAATTGCAGGTAAATCATGACACACACAAAAAAGCACCACCCCCTTACTTGCGCGCGCCTCTTAACTCATCGCATTTAGTTTTCATCGTAATTTTAAAAAAAATTTATACGCGTAAAAATCGACAGCGCGCGCGTACTTCACTGCACACCGTAACTTTATAGTTTAGCGCTCGAAGCGCAGCTCGAACTTGTGCACGATGCTGCTGTAACGAATTATGCGCTTTTTTTCGCTACACACGCTACATTTTTCGCGCTCATTATATGAAAAATTATAAAATTCATATTTTTACAAGTACTACTACGCGGGAGTAATATATAAAAATAATTTCATTTTTCGCTCGTGAATAAACGCCACGCGCGATGCTTGTTTTAATTATAATCGACGCTTGCGCGATCGCACGTCGACGCAGCAATTACGAAAACTAATTCGCACAAATGAATATTTTCCCTAATTACCCTGAACTACTATACTCACACACGTCGCTGATGCCGCAGGTATACGTGGAAGTTTTGGACGAGAACGACAACACGCCTTTGACGGAACTGCCGGTTTATTACCCGTCGGTTTTGGAAAATTCGCCAGCCGGCGTGAGCGTCGTGCAAATACGGGCCTTCGACCGCGACGTGACCCCGCAGCAGTTCACCTTCTCCATCAGCAGCGGCAACGCCGAGGGTTACTTCCTCATCAATTCCACGAGTGGTGAGTACATGTGTTATTATAATTTTTTTCTTCCTTTTTTTTTTTTTCATCGATTCCGCGAAAATTCCTACCTGTTTCAACTTTTTTTCTGTCGAATGTAGGTCGGTTCGGCGCGGTAGCGACTATTTAAGAGCGGCTTTTGCTTACCTATTTACGGCGAAGCTATTATGCACGCGAGCACTTTGGGAAAAGGCCATTATGAGGCATAATTTTGGTGGCCACCGACCTGGCGCGCGGTGCACTTGCTTAAAAATAACGAAAAAAAAAGGAAGTTTTGTTCCCCTTTTTCTGCGCCTTTTTTTTGTATACCTGTACCGTATACATACACTCGTTGTGTCTGAAAAATTTTAACGGTGAATAATTACCCCGTGACATTCAGTCTTCCCTTTTTTTTTGTAGTAGTATTTAATCACAGAGTCGCATGGCCGCTATTTTTCATTCGGAGATTCCTTATCATCATATACGCGACGAGCGGAGTATTTTGATTAGCGTTGCCTAATTCCAATGCATAATACGACGACGACGACAAAAACAAAAACAAAAAAAAAGACGCGACGCATTCGTTATAACTCGGCCATCCCGCGGCATGCAAGCGCAGTAGTATATAATGAAGCAGTGTAAAATTCGCTCGAAGAGACGGGCGGCGACTGAAATGTTTTTGACAAAATTTAACTCCCCCCGTCGTACTACAGGTGTATATACACAAGCACGAGGAAAAAGCTTTGCGAATCATATATACCTATATAGGTGTACACGAGTGTAGCACACAGTGCCGAGCTTTATTTCCAACTAACGCGATTAGAACTTGGGGCGCGGTGACGCGCGGTTGTTTGCACGGGCCGCCACCATCAACGACTGTTGTACAGCACACACAGTAGCAGTCGAGAAGAAGCCATACGGAAAATTGTCATTTTCCGACTGACAACTGTGCGTGAACATACACACACACACAGAGAGCGACTCTTCTTCTACGATTTACTCTCTTTTCGCTCCAATAATACGAGAGAAATCTCCACGTGTATTTTGTGCGCTTGCTTTCGATACGAAATCGGGTTATATTCCTTTTTTTTTCTTGCAGAGACGTTTCGCCTCCTCTCGCCTCGCGTGTGCGCAAATTCGATTAAAATTACGGTGCTGCGCTCTCTCAAACCGGCACATAAATTTATATACACTCACATAACATAATAATCCTCGGGGTATACATATCATACTCTCTTTCTCTCTCTCTGATATTCTCCCTTAGTGTATACACGAAATCGTTTTAACCAATTTTTCGTAATTTTCGTTCGCAGGTTTAATAACGACCAGTGGCCGTAAGCTGGATCGGGAAAATCAAGCCGAGCACATACTCGAGGTAAGTCGACTGCTACTACTATATACTATACTATATCTACTATTAAGAGAATATTTTGAGGATAAAAGAAAAAAAAGGATACACCGCAGGAAAAAAGGCGAAGGCGAGCGTTTAATGTGGTATACAAGAGCTCGTGTATAAACACGGATTTTCAGGCAGCCCTCGGGAGGTAATCGTATCGCCGAAGCAGCAGCAGTAGTATAAGCAGCGGAGACCCCCATGTGTGTGTATTTTTGGGAAATTTTTGCGCAGTCTCGAACTTCATTAATTTCCTTTCTTTATACCCTTATCGAGCTTTATAGTGTACATATTACATCGGACACTTTTGGTTTTGAATATTTTGTCGAGTAGTGGTAATATCCAATGTATATTTTGAGTTTAATACGATCTTGTGCCGACTATATAACTGCGTTATATCCATAAAGTTTTTGAAATTAGAAATGGAGCGATCCTCTCTTTTCCTCTCTATGCTTGGTTGGCGCTTGAAAGTTACGTAACATAAGATCGAATATACCTCGGGGTAATAAAACATGCATTGCTTCTACCCTTCTTTCTCCGAGTAATCAAAAAAATCAGATCGGTAAATAAGTTATGATTTACAATTTTTCATTTTTTCATTTTTTGTACTTATATGAAAAGAAAAATGCTGGAGTGCAAATGCAACCGCGGAAGCATCATTGAAAATAAAGGGAATAAACTGACGGGTAATATTTTTCCTTGCGAAAATTTTGCAGCAATATTTTTTAATGCATCCCGCGTAAAAAAAGGAGAAGTGCAGTAATGTAAGAAACGGGAAAGGTATAACAATGTGAATCGCAGTCAAGATAGCTTCGAGATATTTTGAAAAAAAAACGTTGCTCTCCGAGCAACACAACTCTTGCCTTGACTTCCTCTCTCTCTCTCTCTCTCTCTCTCTCTCCGAGTAGTTTTTGTTTAAAAAAGAAAGTGAATAAAATAAAAAAAACAGTAACGGCTTTTCATACAAAGCAACATTCTTTTCGAAACGTCGAGAGCGAGAGAGAAAGAGAAAAGAAAAGAATTGTATTAGTAGGTTAGTCTCTCTCCGGAGTTCATATATAGAAATTGAAAAATACAATGAGCAACTGCAGCAGCAGCAGAAGCAACAGCAACAGCAGCAACTAGATCGCGCGCACGAGAAGGGATCCTCCCTTGGGACAACCCCCCGGTTTTCCCCGGTAGTCTCTCTCTTATATATAATTAGATTTTCGCCTCGCAAACTTGTTCGTACGAGGCATGGAAAAGAACACCTCGTTTTTTGTTTTCTCTCTCACGTGCGTGTGCACGCCGAGTCTCGGCACAGATCGCGTTTCAAAATGAAATTGAACCGCCCGTCAATGCGCGAATCGAAACTGTTCCGAATTCCATTTGAATACGAGAGTAGTTTATCCTGTGATTGACTGGCCTTTCAACTGCTAAATGACCACTTTCAGATATGCATGCAATAATTATATATCGAGGTACATTTTTCAATCGGTTACATGACAATTCAACGTGGAAAAATGAGATATGCACCGTTTTTCTACTGAATTGAATTACATCCATACAAAATGTTTTTTCATGGAAATTACTAATTCATTCATTCAAAAAAAAAAAGAGAAAATTCGCATATTCATCTGATTGAAAAGTAAATGCTGTCTCGCTGCTTTTCATACACATACAGTTCTTAGTTTTTTTTCAATAGATAAATCGGTGAAGAATTCAAAGCATGATTTCCTCTCCTGTGTGTATAAACCACCGCCGCATTACATCCACCGGTTTTAGATTCTTCGTGGCGCGAGCGGCACACAGCAGCATATTTTTTCCGATGCAGAAATATCGAAGAGCTTTGGCCCTTTTCAATCGTAAACCTTTTGCCCGTTTATGTGTACGTGAATACAGCCCGCCGTTGCCGCCGCCGCCACGTACGTTGAATGAAAATTTATTCAGCCTTCCGTATACATGTATACACGCGAAATGTGCATGCGTTTTTGAGTTTACACATATATTATGTGCGTGTGTGGGTTGGTATTATATATAAACGGAAAATAGTCGAGCCGAAGAAGAAAAAGAAGAAGCTTTGGCGAAGATAAAGCAGCCGGTAAAAAGGGAGAAAAATTTGAATTTTATCGAGATCCATAGCTGCGGCTTTTCTGACATAAACAAAATAATAATCGACAATTTTAAAGCTCGAGCTCGGCTCGTGTCTGTAGGTCAAAGTTATATAGAAACAGAAAAGAGAAGAGACTACACCACGGCTAGGCTATATACGTTCGTGCAGATTATATGAAACTTCAATCCGCCTTTTACTATTGTTCTTGTTATTTCTCTTGTTGTTGTTGTTGCTGTTGCTGCTGTAGTTGAAGTTGTTGTTTTCCAGCTGTAGTATACATGCACTGTACTACACGTGACCATAAATACATACACGAGTCATATATAGTCCGTCGACGGCGAAATCTCGTTAGCAGAAAAGGCTGTGCGCGGGGATTTTGAGGCCATCTATACGAGCAGTTAAACTTGCCCCCGTCTCAAAGTCATTTATATACACACATAGACCAGGGTTTGTTTGTCTTTTTAACGTAGTTAAATGAATTCGCCTCTCTCTGTCTGTCTTTAGCTTCAAGTACTCCTCTAGCGTCGAGGATTATATATAATTAGAAAGAAAAAACGTTTAAAAATTATTTGTCAAGTAAGTCCGCAGTAGCAGAGCATTATTATCCAGACGTTGAAAAGGAAAAATTACTCCCCATAAAGCTCGCGCGAACAATCCATTACTTAAAAAAGATTAACGCAAGACGTGTGCCGCTGCTGGGCGATAGTAATGAAGTTTTCTTGCCCCCACGAAATACACGTGTACGCACGCGAACAAAAGGTTGTCAAGAAGAAAAAAAGAAAAACATTTGATAGAGCCACTTGAAGGGTGCCGTTCAATGGGAGGAAAGGTGGCAATCTTACTTCTACCTATACATAGAATACAAGCAATCTCCTCCTGTGACCGCATGCACCTAACTGTCTTTCCTTCCCAGATCTCGCTCGCTCTCGCTCTACTTGGGCTCGAAAATTCAAGACGTGTGGCGCGCACTTGCTCTTGGTCTGGTATAACCCACTTCGGAAGCTTTGCGGTTCTCTCTAAGCTTTCTCTTGTCCCATTTAACTATATAGCTTGTCTTTCTCACTCTCGCGCTCGCTCCCTCGTCGCCGTCCTAGTCGTCGCCGTATGTATGTACAGGTCAAATTAATTGAATTCGGAAACTCGTCCACGTGGCAGATAAGGCGACAGGTACTCAAGAAAGACTTTTCAACGCGGCTCACGAGAGGACTGACGACGACGACGACGACGACGAAGACGACGAAAACTGCTCTAAAGATTCTTGTATTATATGTATAACTACTTGGCGTGATTTTGTCTGTGGTGGTGCAGTTTCGAGAAGCGTAAAAATTGGTAGCGTAAAGCGTAAAAAAGGGAAACGAAAAATTTTTATTCACTAAAAAATGTTTGTTTCGAGGGAAATTTTTTTGCGCGATACACACTCATCGCAGCTCGCAAAACACATTCGTGTTGTATGATAGTTTTTCTGCAAGGATACAAAAATCTGCATGTACGATTTTGTTTCATTTTGTATTTTTTGTTTCTCGCTTCTTTCTCACTTTTACAGGTATGTACATAGCGCGTTGATATTATGTATAGCTTCGAAAATAAGAGAGCTCAATTTTGACCAGTTTGCATTTATACTTGCGTTCGCTCGGCTGATTTTTTCCTCTATTGCTGCAGGTATCTTTGCTTCTTGTTTTCCTCTGGCAAACCCCTCCGCGATCGACATCGGAAAGTATTATTTTTCGAGGCTCTATTCAGCTTTTCGTGTGTATTTCATATTTGCACGAGCAGCAGCAAATCGTTGAATAGATATACAAATGATAGATTGAAATTTTCAAGATATTTTCAATGAATTTAAAAAAAAAAGTGATAAACTGAATTGCCAAAGCAGTTTTGAAGCGGTCAGTTTCCGTGAGGGAGTCACAAAATGAACTCAAGGGATTTAGCATTTAATAAGTCGACAATTAAAAATTTGCTTCATTTTCCGCCGAAAATTTATTCATTTTTTTAAAACCTTAAAAAGTATTCTACAAAATTAAATAATATTCTGAAAATCAAGCTAAAAATTTTCTTTATAATAATATCATGAGGTCCTTCAATTTCTGAACAAGTAATTTCACAAATTTATTAAGTTTTTATACGAGAGTGATGCACCGAATTTACGTGGGCTTTTAGATTATACTTCCGTGTGTACATCGTTTCGCAAATATTACATGCATAAGTGATTTTACTATGTACCGACTCGATGTGAGTTTTGAGATTAATTTTTTGTGTAAATGATTTTTCGCAATTACCACATGAATATTTGATACCTGCATGTATCTAGATGTGCTTTCTGAGAGTACTCTTCAACGTGAACTTCTTTCCACACGTCTCACGTGCATGAGTGGTACCATTGTGCGTCGCATCAATGTGATATTTCAATTAATCCTTGTTTGTGAATATCTTTTCATGTATATCGCATTTATATCTGATACCATTGTGCATTACATCAATGTGAAGTTTCAGATAATTCTTTGTTGTGAATTTCTCTTCACATCTATCGCATTTATGTCTGATACCATTGTGCATCGCATCAATGTGAAATTTTAGATAACTCTTTTTTGTGAATTTCTTTTTACATGTATTGCATTTATATCTGATACCATTATGAAACGAATCGATGTGTGTTTTCCAATTTATGTTTGTTTTTATGTGTTTTTTTACACGTTTCACACGTGTGAATGCTACCACTTAGCACTGCCATTTTCCGTAAACGAATCATCATAATGTTCTTGTTTTATTCTGAAATGAAACAAAATACAATGGTGTAATATTTATGTATACTTACATTCTCCTGATGTAAAAATTACCTAACGGCAACATTGAATAAACTGCTTGCTTCAATCTTTCACACTTGAAAATACGTTGACAATAAAACTCTCTGCGATAATTTTACACATCGAGCTGGATAGCAATTTAATAATACAACTCATGCTCCGACCTAGTCAATGTAAACAAGGCAAAACTAAGTTTTTTGACGAAATTAACATTTGTATCTCGCGTTTAATGAACAGTAACTTATACAGTTCAGTTTTTCCATCAGTATAATTTCGAAAATATAATGAATTAATGAAATGATTGTACGGTGCATGAAACGTTCCGAGAGTGAGCTTGTACGTACAAAAAATTATTACGATTTGACACTAATGAATGTAGATGAGCCTCATTATCACGATACTTTATTTCATTAGAAAAAATCTTCTTTTATAAATTACAATTTGATACTCGCTTGAAAATTTATAAGTAACATAGCTAAATTACTTAAATATTATTAGTAAGGTTTAGCGTCAGTAAAGGCAAAAAGATTCGGCTACTTGCTATTTTTCTCGTTCATCATGCTAACTCATCTCTTTCTACAAAAAAAAAGTAATCGCTCGCTGTTATCCCAACATTTATCTGTAAAAAATCGTGAGATTAGAAAAATTCGCTGGATTATTTTCCTTTTTTTTGGCTCCGAAGTACGTGAATTCAAGCTGGGATAACGAAGCAAAAAATCTCTCTCTCAGCTCTCCAAGTGAAATGTATTAATCAGTATACATTAGTACGGTCGACATATATATTATCGTTGGACAAAGTCGGAGCGGATTTTCAACTGTTTTCTTACTCATACTACTGCTACAACAGCAGCAGCGGCAGCAGCAGCCGAGGAAAGCTCATTTGGTGCTATCCTTGCTTACACCTCTGGGCGAGAGTTATGAAAAACCTTATACCATTTGAGAAAAGAAGCTCTCTCGAGGTGGAGCCTTCGCGAGCGAGCTGATGGTAAAAAATAAAGCGCGATTAATAACGCCGTCTCTCTTCCTCTTCTTCTTTCTTCTCAACGCTGTGTATACAAATATATACACAAGGGCCAAGAGTCGCTGCTGCTTCTTGCGAGCTAGAGCAAAAAACCATATACGCCCGGGCGCGGGTAGAAAATTCTTCAGGGTCTACATACGTTCGTAGACACACAGCCCCGCATGACGACGTGATATCATAAATCTGCGCGCTGATAGCGCTAAAAAGCTGCTGCCCTACACTCGCACCTGTATTATACCACACGCGTGCAGCAGCGCATGCAAGGAGGAAGTAGGCCTCTGTCTCTCTCTCTCTCTCTCACTTTTGTAGCGTATGTTACATATTATATAGCGAAGCTCCTCGCTTTCTCACACGCTCTCTCTGTTGAGTACAGTGCACCTCTCTCGTTGTCGTCGTCGTCGTCGTCGTCGGGTATAATACACGAGAGACTTTTTGCCCTGAAACTTTAGCTGGGATTTTCACGAAGCTGTTGGCTGACTGGCTGGCGGGTTAGAGGTTGGATAGTCTACTGCTGCGAGCGTGTGCTCGAGGATGTGTGCGTTGTGTGTTAGCTGAAACCAGGATGAATTATATCGAAACTTGATATGGCTCGTTAAGGTTCTGCTGCTGCTGCTGCTGCTGCTGCTGTTGTTGCCGCTTCTGCTCGCTGGCACAAGTTCGTGTTTGTGCGTGCTGTGTTGTGCCGTGTACTGTGTACGGCACCTATCTAATGTTCGGCGCATCATGCACGCCGTCTCACTTGCTACTGTTGGAAGTTGAGATGTAAGAGAAAGAAATCACGGTTGAGCGGCGTAGTTATTATTAAATTCAAAGACAATGTCATATGGCACTCATTGAAATTGACTTGCCAGTCACAAATCACTTTTCGCGTATTTTTTCTATTGTAGCATTCAAAACGTCCGAAATGTGAGATTTATGAAAATCATATTTTATCTCACACGAATGTATAAATATAAAATGAATTGACCCGCGAGCTTTAATTGCTTCGAAATAATTGTTTGATTTTATAACGATTTATTCATACGCACCGGCGAAAACAATAATTTTTAAAAATGCGCCCCCCGAATGCTGCATAAACATCGAGTCCGAGCTTGAATGATTTGAAGAGGCAAAAATAAACAACGCGAGGATCGATCTGTACGCGAGTGATGAATAGATTGGAAATTATTATTTCAAAAAACCCAAATGAAATTAATATTCGTTTCATTGAGATGAATTGTATGCTATACCGATATTTAAAATACCCCGTGGCTCTCGCGTACAAAAAACGATCTGCTATTTCTTCAGCTATACCATATTTTTTCCGAGGTTTAGGTTGGTTGTACAGTCGATTTTATAAAAGCACACGCCGTGCGGAGGAAAAACATTACCACACAATCGAGCTGTATTTCAGCATCCTAATCCCTGTCGATCGCATTCAATATCGCGATAATCTTTTTCTACTATACTATACCAGCGACGGCAGCAGCGGCAGCGAGAGGCTGTGTGACACAATTTTTCACGTGTGTGTACCTTCCACGTCGGCTTTTATTGGGCCGATTCCATGAGGTAGCAATTTACCTTTTTTCGTACGTACATTTGAATGTGACACGAAGTTATTCGATTTTTTTTTCTATTTCAATCGATTTCCAGTCACGACTCCCTCTCTACACTGTGACGAAGGAATATGAAAGTGAAAATATACCTAAGCGAAAAAAAAGGAACCATGAGCCAAAAGCGAACGTAGCAATACTACTTCTCTTTTGTTCGATATCGAGTGTTTCTTCGCTCGTTCCGCTCGAATCCTTATTTTTCTATCCAAAGTTTCGTCGAAGCGTACAGCTAATAATGTCGCGAGCCGACTGCTGCGTCGAGAACAAAAGTTTCTGGATTTTTCTGCTACATATTATTATTCTATCGCGACGTGGATTTTATCAATAAAATGAATGATAATTCGCCTGTCTATGTAGATTCTTCGTCGGAGTTATATGCCAAGAGTTTTTTTCATACATAAGCGTCGTTTTTTATTATCGGCGCAATTGCTGCATTTGGCAGGCATATCAATGCTGTACACACACTATTGGACGTGCATCGATTTCGACTATTCAAAACGCGCCTCTATAAATGCGTATATCGGTTGGTATATCGATAAATCGACTACGCGTCTGACTGCCAAAAATGCATGATTTATGAATTTTTCATTTTTTTTTTTTATTTTTCAACTTACCGTGATGTACCTTTTTGTCACAAATGGGCGAATAATAAAAAATGTATAGACCTGCATGGGAAGTTTTCTGTTTGTTATTAATTACCTCTATGATTTATGCATGTACACGAACGAGTGCAATAAGATTGATTTTGCATATACCGAAACTTTTTCATGAGATCTGCACGACAAAAGGTTTAATCAATTTTTCGCCGTTCTGGTATATGAAAAGAAACGTGTTTTATCCGGACTAATAATAAAGTCGAAGAAGAAAACAGAGTCTCGACTCTCGCGCAGTCCCAAAGATTCTGAAATATTCACTCGAATCCGTCGTTTCGAAGTTTATGTACACGAAGTATATAAGAAAGAAAGAAGGCAAAAAGCCACGCCGTATACGCTATATGCACTGTGAGTTTGCGTATATACACAGAAACGAGCGAGAAATGCAAATTATAAATCCGATAGCTGCGGAGAGATATAGAGAGTAACAGCCGGTTGTTGTTGTTGTATCGTTTTATGTGTGTGTGTGTGTGTGTGCAGCGTACGCCGCTATGCGTGCTATAATATACATAAGCTTTTCCACTCGGGGTAACTATATTGCAGCATCGTACGTGGTATACACGTCCAAGTGCGAGAAAGAAGGAGATAAATAACGACTTTAATAAAGCGTATGGCTGGTGCTGGTGCTAGTGCAGCAACGAGCCAGGCCGTGTGTATTCTCCACGTTTAATAACGCCGAGTTTGGCCACACGATGATTTTCATGGTTATATCTACTACTACCCCCGTATGTGTGTGCAAGGATGCATCGTATCTGTGTGTGTGTGTATGTGCGTACAGTTTGATGTGTTATACATGTAGGTGTATACGCACGTGTTGGCCTGCAATTGCGCCAACTAAAACTACATTTAAGCGCGCCGCGCGCTCGGCTATCTAGAGCTGCGCAACCAAACGATGGGACTCGCCATGAAGCTCGAGCTTTGTTCCCCATGAATACCATTGACTAATTGAGATAATACACGAGCATTCGGCGAACTCAAATTACTGACCCCGGGATTATATCGAGCAAGTTTCTCGAGATCGATCGACTCAAGTCCAAGTTCGCCGAATTTTCCAACAATACCTAAATATGTAAATATCGTGTCGCAAAGAAGTACACTCGACTTAACCATTATTTTTCTTGTTTCTTGTTGCAGGTGACGGTGCGAGACGACGGCAGGCCGGCCCTATCGTCGACTACCCGCGTCGTCGTGCAGGTCGAGGACGTGAACGATCACGGCCCCATGTTCGAGGAGAAGTTTTACATCGTGCAGATCCCGGCGTCGCCCCCGAATCTCGATAAGCCGCTTTTCCAGGTTCGTGCACCAAAACTTATTTTATTAATCTATCCTTCCCTCGTTATACATATTTGTATGTGTCTGTGTGTGAAAGTGGATGGGTCGGGTGGGGAAAACTTCGAAGCCAAACGTATTATACACAAGCGACGACGCGCGTAATATGTATAGTAGGCGGGGTGGAGGCTTTATCCACGATGTTATCGAGGATAACGCCGCTTGTTCTTAATACGTGGTTTATATAAGCCGCACTCGCACACGTGTGTGTGTGGATTTTAAGGTAGTTATTAGCGTTGCGGGATTTTTTTTTGATTGAAGATTTTGGGGATGAAATTATTATGTTTGCGATTGTGTTTATTGATATATAAATACTTTTTTGAAAGTTTGTTCTGTATAATTTGTATAATTATTATTTGTTTGTTTGTTTGTTTGTTTGTTTGTTAGTGCGCGTGTCTGTTGTTACATTTGCATTGAGTTGAAAAGGTTTTTTTCGTGTATTATATTATAATCATCATCGTGATTGTCTTCATTATTATTATTATATGAATCATCGATTTTGCCCTATATATAGGTATTGGAGAATTTTTTCAAATCAAATATTCATTCACATTCATATATTGTACAGTTTTTCCTCGCAAATCCATCATCACGTACATACTATACTGTGTGCACTCGTATTTTTGTAAAAAAAAAAAGAATAAAAAAAAAAACAATTGCTGTTCATTTTCACCGCCAAATTACAATCACGGTTTAAATATAAAAAAAAAAGTACATAGAGTGTAAAAAATGTAAATAAAAAATCATAAAAACGGCTGTATGTATGATACACGTGTAAAAAAAAGTTGACGTTGGCTACCACTATACATACATTGTATAAAATATGCACGTACGCCTATACATACACACACGCACGGGGTTATACATCCGTAGAGAATTTCGCGCAAAGTGCCCGGCGTAGTGCGAGCCCCGACGATATGTGTCGTCGTAGCAAAAGGAGCTTTTTACGCTACGCTACGCGAACATAGTTACACGCTTTGTACATTATCGAGCGCGCGGCACTTTTGCATATACAAGCGAGAGTTAAGAGCGATCATCGGAGATTTTGAAGCGGAGCGAGTAGAGAAAAAAAACAGTAAGCGAGCGAGAGAGAGAGAATCAATGCAAAAGTATACTACATGGACGGATGACTTTCGATGAAGTCGTTGTCGTTGGAATGGCAAAAGCCAAAAAAAAAAAAAAAAAAACAAAAAACTATGAGGTGTGAAATCTTTGTTGTCGCAGAAAAACGAACGTAATCGTAACGCACGAGCCGGTGGCGATGCGCTAACGAGTCCCGGCAACAGCGAGACGGCGAACATCGCAGGCGCAGGAGGAGGAAGCGAGATAGTCGAGATGTCGGTGGACGCGTTACTCGAGAACGGCACTTGGGAAACATTTAGCCCGGACAGCCTGACGGGCGATCGAATCTTCAGGGTAAGCTTATATCCAGGGCTGCAACTCTACTACTGTATACTACAGCGACGCGCCAGCATCAGCTGTGTGCCACACGCAACGTATAGTCTACTACACGCACACGCCTCTCTCGCTGTATTTTTATAATATACACGCACGCACACGCACTGTTTGTTGTATACGCACTGCATCTATACGCGGACTTATTCAGCCGGCACTAACCTACCCTCTTATTCACCTCTCTGTACCACTCGCTTACTACCACCTATACCTCTCCTCTTTTTTATTTTTTTTTTTGGTTGATTTTTCGTTTTTATTTTATTTTATTTTTCACGTTGTTGTTTTTTTTTCGAGCTCGTTCACTCGCGACATATACTTACACGCAAAAGCTTTTTGCACACACACGCACGAGACTACTATACAGCAGCATCAGCACGCACGCACGCATGTATGGCACGGTGTATGTACGCGAGCGTGAGTAAATGGCTGCGATCGAAATATGTATAACAGCTTGATGGCTGCAGCAGCAGCAGCAAATACTACGACGACAACCGATGCGATGCGAACTCTCTGAGCGCATAGCAGGCAACATCGAATTATATTCAATTATCGTAATTATCGTACTCTTGACAATGTGTGCCAAGCTGTATATGCTGTATGTATACGTGCGGCACACACGCTTGTAAACATCTTGCGAGTTTCACCCGCGCGTATATAATACGTTATACACATTATACATCTACACGTTGCAAAATCACGAACACACTTACTGCTGCTGCTGCTGCTGCTGCGACGTGATAATCACACATGCACGCGAGAAAGGAAGAGAGAGAGAGATCGATTGATCGACGCGCGAGTATGCAGAGAGAGAAAGAGAGAGAGAGATAAATAAAAAAGAACAAAAAATTATACATTCTCGCGCTGTTTACACAACGTAATAAAAAGAGAGAAGTTAACAGCGGCGTAATAATTGCATGCGCTCACATATTCTCAGTCGAATGCAGCCAGCAGCAGCAATATATATTATTATACGTGCTACAGTCCGCTTGATGTGCTGCTGCAGCGAGCATTGAATACATAAAAAAACATGTGTGTTGTGTGCACCCGCGTAATCGGCTCGATGGTGTAAAGGGCGCGCGCGAGCATTTTTCAGTCGATGCGTATACGCTGCACATACATACATAACGCAGCGACTCAAGTCAGAAGCAATGCTTTGCTCGATTAACCTTGGCAAATTGTCGTCCCCCCTTCTTTGAGCCGTGACTACTGATGTATACATGCCGATTTCGATAAGCAAATCAGTGATATAAAAAGGAGCAGTAGTACCTACTAGTTGTAGATGGTAAAAGCGCGTTTTTATTTAGATCGATGCCTCTGCTGCTCTCTTTTATGTAAGCACATTCATACGTATGCACTCGAATCATAATATATCGTTCCGTCTCTCGCCTAGAGACTCATTTGGCTTCGTGTCTGTACATTTTATGCGTTATACAAAAGCTCACTGAAATTCTAGTCGACATGGAAATACTCGCGATATTGCTTTAAACGCGAAATAAAAGTCATCATCGTTGTCGTGAACGTAACGAGATGTACGCGCAATAATATCCGTATATATATGCGCGCTCGATCGTTTACGTAAAACCGAGACTCGAAAAATCGACTACCATACGCACGTACGGCTTTAGCAGAGACAATAAACGCGCACGCAATAATGCCTCGACCTTCGATTTAACCATTTGACTGAATACATTATTACCCTTCCAATGCTCGTGTATCGAGGTCGCATTTATACGTTATACGCGCAGTACACACACACACACCTACGAAAGCAGCAGCAGTGCTATGCTCATCGGTCGTAGATTTTTTCTTTTTCACACTTTTGGCGCCTTGTTTCGCCGCTCGTTCGTGGGCGCTCGCGCGCTCCGTTTGCGGCTAGTGACCGCAACGCTGCACGCGCGCAGCGCAATATATACACACACACACACAGCTCATGGACGCGCGTAACGAACGAGCGACGACGACGACTATTGTGTTGCTCTCGTACACGCTCGTAGTTTTAAAGCGCTTCGAAATTACTATACACACACGTAGAGAGAGAGAGAGAGAGATACGCACAAGCGTTTCGCTTATATTTAATGCATGCAACAAAGCTGCGCACGAGCTGCTTCCAGCGCAGGGGGATATCGGGGCTTATAAAGTGCCAACTTTTGGGAAAGAGAGAGAGAGAGATGACAACGGGAGCGCGCGTGGGTGTTAGCCCATAACCTGGCCACCAACGCAGCCGAAAGCAGCAGCAGCAGCAGCACATTTTTCAGTGACTAAATTGCGCATTCGAATGCATTTTCCAGCCATAAAGTATATTCGCACGCTTTTGTCGCGCTGTATGTCTCTGTGTATGTGTGGGTCTATTGCCCGCTGCGTGTATAAATATGCATGCGATGCACGCATGCCTCCTTGCATGTTAATGTTTTGTGTCTGTGTCTGTGTGCACGTCCCTCCCCGTAGTAAAGCCTTTTAATAAATAATTTTACTCACGCTTTTATGTAGCCCTCTATGTAGTAGATAGTAGTGGTGTACATCATAGTAGTTTTAGCGCACACGTAGCATTTTGATAATAGTTCTCGAGCTTCGAGCGCTTATACAGGCCTCGATTCACGTGAATTCTACACGTACTTAATAGTGTGATACAAAATAGTTGGCTTTTTTTCTTCTTTTTTTTTTGTTGGTATTTTGTATACGGGGCAAATTTCCTGAAGTGTCCTAGCGCTCTGCCGCACGGCATTTTTTGGCCGAATCACTCAATTTCTAACTCGCTGTAAAAGTATCAAAACGCCCCTCAAAAAAATAACTAACTAATGATTTTGATAGGAAATTTCCTCAGCTTTCTGATGGTGAGGTCCGATTTTCCGGAATTTTCCATTTTCACCTCGGAAAATGCAAGTAAACATTCAAACTCGAATATCTCGAAAAACGCCACTTTTTTTGCGTTTTTTATTGTTTCAATCGAAAGATGAGGTCTTTTTACATCGGATATGGTAGTTTTCAGAGTGTATTTTTGATGAAAACTAAGGAAAATACGGGAGGTTTTAGTTAGCGCTCGGCCGCTCGACGCGATTTCCAGCCTTGCGCGGCTCGCTGTAACTTGTAACTCGCTCTTATGACATTGTGATTTGGCTGGAAAAATTATTAAACATATGGTTTCGATAGGAAATTTTCTCAGCTTTCTTATGGTGTATTTGGATTTTCCGATAATTTTCATTTTCACTAGAAAAAATGGACTTGAATGTCTATTTTCTACTTTTTCTAATGAAAATGAAAATTATCGGAAAATCCAAATACACCATAAGAAAGCTGAGAAAATTTCCTATCGAAACCATATGTTTAATAATTTTTCCAGCCAAATCACAATGTCATAAGAGCGAGTTACAAGTTACAGCGAGCCGCGCAAGGCTGGAAATCGCGTCGAGCGGCCGAGCGCTAACTAAAACCTCCCGTATTTTCCTTAGTTTTCATCAAAAATACACTCTGAAAACTACCATGTCCGATGTAAAAAGACCTCATCTTTCGATTGAAACAATAAAAAACGCAAAAAAAGTGGCGTTTTTCGAGATATTCGAGTTTGAATATTTACTTGCATTTTCCGAGGGGAAAATGGAAAATTCCGGAAAATCAGACCTCACCATCAGAAAGCTGAGGAAATTTCCTATCAAGATCATTAGTTAGTTATTTTTTTGAGGGGCGTTTTGATACTTTTACAGCGAGTTAGAAATTGAGTGATTCGGCCAAAAAATGCCGTGCGGCAGAGCGCTAGGACACTTCAGGAAATTTGCCCCATACTTGGAAATGGTAAATGCGCAACGAGACAATGGCAACGTAAAGCGCGAACTTTCAAGTATATGCTCAACAAGTACTAACTTATTTCTTTTTTTCTCTCTTTCGACGCAGGTATTGGCACACGACGAGGATATTGGCAAAAATGGCAAAATCCAGTACAGCATCAAGAGCGGCAAGGGCAAGGGCAAATTTAAAATTCACCCCAACACCGGTATGGTTTACTCGCAGAAGGGCTTCGAGGCGGGTCAAGAATTCGACATGATCGTGAGTATCGAAATAAATATCTATTCTACTATATCGCATAACTATAACGACATTCGTTGCTTTTTTGTGCTTCGTAGATAAAAGCCTCGGACGAGGGCGAGCCACCGCGCAGCCATCAAGCTCGCATCTCGGTGCAGGTCGTCGAGACGCCGCGCGACTCGCCGAACGCGCCCCAGTTCAAGTCCCAGAATCAGAGCGTCGAGGTGACCGAGTCGGATCAGGTGGGCTACCTCGTCGCCCTGATGCAAGCCACCGACAAGGACGGCGACACCCTCTGGTACGACATCGTCGACGGCGATCCTCGCGACGAATTCGTCATCGGCCGCGACAACGGCAACGTTCTGCTGGCCAAACAGCTCGACTGGGAGACGCAAAAGTCCTACGTGCTCACCGTCGCCGTCACGGATGGCGTGAACGAGGCGCGCACTCAGCTCCGCGTCAAAGTCATCGACATCAACGATCATCGGCCGGAGTTCAGCGAGCCGCTCTATCGCGTGCAGATATCCGAGAATCTCGTCGAGCGAGGCGAGCGAGTGCTGCAGCTTCACGCCGAGGACGCCGACGAGGACAAGCGCGTTTTCTACTCGCTGCACAACGCCCAGAATCAGGCCAGCTTGAGGCTCTTCCACGTCGACTCGATCACGGGCGCTCTCACCCTGAACGAGCCGCTCGACCGCGAGACGATCGAGGAGCACGTGCTCACGGTCATGGTGAAGGATCAAGGCACGCCGCCCAAGCGCAATTACGCCCGGGTACTGGTCACGGTGCACGATCACAACGATCACGCGCCGCTCTTCATCAGCGAGATCGTCCAGGCGAAGGTGTACGAGACGGCGCCGATAGGCACGGAAGTCGTGCAGGTCGTCGCCGTGGACTGGGACCGGGGTGACAACGCCCGACTGAGCTACTCCATGACATCCGGCAACGTCGGCAACGTGTTCAGCATCGACGCGGAGCTCGGCATCATCAGGGTGGCGCGCGAACTCGATCTCGCTTCGTCGTCCGAGTACATACTGCTGGTCAAAGCCACGGATCACGGCTCGCCACCGCTCGCGAGTAGCATCCCCGTGCACGTGATGGTGACGATGGCCGACAACGCAGCGCCCCGTTTCGTCAAGCAGCCCGGTAACAATGGTGAACTCGCCGCGGAGATCTACGAGAACGAGCCGCCCGGCAGCTTCGTCAAACATCTCGAGGCTCGCGCGACCTCGTCGCTGCAGTATTACATCGTGGAGGGCAATATAGACGAGGCTTTCTTTGTGAATCCCAGCACGGGAGTGATCACGACGCAAGACAGGCTCGATTACGAGAAGCTCAAGTTTTACAATCTGACGATCGAGGCGACGAGCATGGCTGGCTCCGCGGCTCGTTGCAACGTCATCGTTCACGTGCTCGACAGAAACGACAACGTGCCGCGATTCTTGCAGGCTATCTATACAGGACAGGTTTGTTATTAAATGATTGGCTTTTGACCGAATTTTCTTAATTGGAATTGTTTTATCATGAAAAAAAAATACGATTTTGTTTTCGACAGATAAGCGAAGCGGCGAGCATAGGCTCGCTCGTGTTCAGCAGCAACAGCACGAGCTCGCCCCTGGTGATCAAGGCCGAGGACGCCGACTCGGAGCTCAACGCTCTGCTGAACTACGACATCGTCGAGGAGCTGCCGCGGAAATTCTTCCACATTGACTCGAGCACGGGCGCCATACGCACCGTCATGCTGCTCGATCACGAGACAATACCCAGCTTCGAGTTTCACGTCAAGGTGTCGGATCTCGGCAAGCCGAGACTCTCATCCGAGACCACTGCCAAGGTCCTGATAGCCGTCACCGACGTCAACGACTGCCCGCCCAAGTTTCGCCAGAGCGAGTACAACGCCACGGTGCTGGTGCCGACTTGGCGCAATGTCGCCGTGGTCAAGCTCGAGGCCTTCGATCCCGACACCACCAACGCCCTGCCCGGACAAACTTCCTTGAGATACGACATTATCGACGGCAATCAGGCGCAGGCCTTTCAAATTAATTCGCAAACTGGGGCGCTCACTATCAGCAATCCCGAGAACATGGCAGCGAGCTATCTGCTGCACGTACGAGCTTCCGATGGCAAATACTCGAGCGTCGCTCAGGTCAATATCAATGTGGAAAATTCGGAAAATTCCGGCTTGGTCTTCCAGAAGGACTCGTACGAGGGCACTGTGTTAGAGAACTCGACGAAAATCACCACTGTCGCGGTGCTACATGTGCTCGGCACTGTCTTGAACGAACACGTCGTCTTTACCATTCTCAATCCGACTGATCTGTTTGTGATCGGTCAGACGTCCGGTGCCATCAGCACGACCGGTGTGCGCTTCGATCGCGAGTCCTGCGACAGGTACGAGCTCGTCGTCGAGGCCAAGAGCCTGGTGCCGAAGAAACGCGTCGCTCACGTGATTGTGAACGTCACCGTGCTCGACATCAACGACAACTGCCCGATTTTCGTCAACCTGCCCTACTACGCCGTGGTGTCGGTCGACGCGCAAAAGTCCGACGTCATCATGAAGGTGCACGCCGTCGACCTCGACAGCGGCGACAACGGCGAGGTCAGATACGAGCTCAAGAAGGGCTACGGCGAACTTTTCAAAGTTGCCCGAAAGACCGGCGAAATATCGCTCAAGCAGAATCTCGAGGGCCACAATCGCGAGTATCAGCTCACTATTGCCGCCTACGACGGAGGTAAGATTGAAAAGCAAAAAAAAAACTTTTTTTATTTCACTACACACAAAAAACAAAGTTCCGTCCAAGAGTTAACATTTTGTATTTTTTTTTTTTCATTTCTTTCAAAGGTATAAGTCCTTGTTCGGTCGAAGTGCCCGTCAACCTCAAAGTCATCGATCGCTCGATGCCCGTTTTCGATAAACAATTTTATAGCGTCAGCGTGCTGGAGAGCATCGAGGTCCATTCACCTCTGTCGGTGGCAATACAGGCCGAGTCGCCGCTGAATAGAAAACTGATTTACAGCATTACAAAAGGCAATGACTTTGAGGAATTCGCCTTGGATTTCAATACAGGTGAGCGCACAATGGGTATTATTATAACTCTTATGGGTAATTACATTTTTTTTTCTCAAATCAAATGAACGACGCGCGTTTATCAAAATAAAGCGCGCAAGTCTGCGCTTTCGATGCGCAACTATATATAAAGTGATTATCGGTCGAGTGCCTGTTTATTTATTTAACAAACCAGAGAGAACGCATAGATATTTTTTGAAAAATATTTAGCTGCAATGTAAACATTTGGCTGGGTGCGTTGGTGCTCGATCGATACGCACGCGCGGAAAAAAAATAGAAAGAAACAAAAATGAAATTGATTATTTTGTCCTGCTATTTTCCACAGCCCTCGACAGTAACAATGGTCCTTGTGAGTATTCCAAACAAAAAAAAAAACAACTTTTTCGGTTTTAAATTGAATTACTTTTTCTCTTTCGCTATATATACATTGCGCCGACATGCCTATATAGCATTTGCTATTTTTCTTTTTTCATCGTTTGCATGATTTTTTATGCAATTCTTTTCTAGATTTCAATACATTTCTTTTCTGTGCGCGTACGAACAACCATTGTACGAATTGGTGTTAATACATGAATATTCCTGATTTTTTATTTGTTGTGTTTGTTCATCTACAGCTTCTCGTTGTGGAAACCTTGCACTGATTCGAATTTGCTTATCGATGTTTTCACACTGGAAGCCATTGGAAACTCAAATTGCATGAATAAAATTTATAAAACTAATATTTTCAATTTCGAGCTCTTCCAAAACTTTTACTGGCTTGTCATTCGCTACCACTGGCCTATATTTTTGTTCTTATTCATTTAAAAAAAAAAAATACATCGCATAACTGTCACATTGCTCAAGTCATCATTCTCAGTACTAAAACTTTTGCAATGAGCCTGAACCATTGGAACGACCGTCTCAGCATTATTTGAGACTGTATTGTTTAAATTTCGATTTTTTTTTCATTGTAATCATCGTGTCTTGTAAGCTGCCTAACTTGCATATATGAATGTAAAGCTTTTCTTCGATGTATTTCTCTCATTGATTTCAGTTTTTTTGTTAATATTGTTTCAGTGTTCATTAATTTTGTTTATTTTCCATATGAGTTTCACGTATAACTAATTCCTAATTCCCATTAAAAAATATGTATAAATTTTATATTTTAGTTGTAGGTAAAACTCATATTGTGTTTTCATTGTTGTCATCATTCATTCGTTCCATCTTGAATGATACACAGCATCACATTTTTTTTACTTTTTAACAATTAATATTTTCTTTCATGCGACGGAGATAGCGAATTTTATAGTGAATTCGAATTATATAAAATAAAAAAATGTTACATTCGCTATCTTCAATGAATGTCCATTGCAACAGGAATGCTTTCAGAAGACAAGAATTTCACAGTAGCTAAGAGATCGCTAATTTAATCGTATCTCAATCACAGGTGTCATTTACGTTGTGGACGAGCTGGACTACGAAGAGAAAAAGGAATACGAGCTGACGGTGCGTGCCACCGACAGCGTGTCCGGTATCTACGCCGAGGTGCTCGTCTCCATCCTCGTGCTCGATGTCAACGATTGCCCGCCCGAGTTCAGTCAGGACTCCTACAACGTCAGTATCTCCGAGGCGGCAATATTTGGCACTGAACTGCTGCGGCTTGTCGCGCGTGACAACGACACCGGCATAAATCAACAAATCATCTACGCCATCGAGAATCGCACCGATCTCGGCGAAAACATCGCAGATCTCTTCCACATCGATCCGGAGGAGGGCATCGTTTATCTGAAGCGATCGCTCGATCACGAGACGGCCGACTCGCATCATTTCACGGTGATAGCGACCGATCGTGGCGTGCCGAGTCTGTCGAGCACGGCGCACGTCTGGCTCACGGTCATCGACATGAACGACAACCCGCCGAAATTCGATCAACCGTCCTACAACTGTTTCCTGTCGGAGGAAGCCGAGCGCGGACAATTCGTCACGGTGCTGTCTGCGTCCGATCCCGATCTGTCGGACGAACGGCTGATTTACACGATCGTCGGCGGCAACGAGCAGCAGACCTACAGCATCGATCAGTCGACCGGCATACTGACCTTGATCAATATGCAGAATTTCGCCGAGGAAAAGATGACCGTGCTCAACGTCTCGGTGAGCGACGGCGTGTACACGAGCTTTGCCCGAGTCAAGATCGACATACTTCCGGCCAATCGTCACGCGCCGAAATTCAGCAATCCGATCATCGAGGCCTCCGTGCAGGAGAATAAGCCAGCTGGTAGACTGGTGGCCAGCGTCGTTGCGACCGACGAAGATTTTGGAGAATACGGCGCAGTGCGCTACTCCATCTCGTCCGACTATATGCAGGAATTCTTCGAGATTCACCCGGAGCGAGGCGACATCGTTACCAAAAAGTGCCTTGATCGCGAACAACACAAACTCTTCGAGATACCGATCGTCGCGAGCGACGGCGGCGGCAAGGCCGGTTTCGTCATCGTGCGCGTCAAAGTCATCGACGACAACGACAACACGCCGGTATTCCTGCTCAAGGAGTACAAGGCTTGCATACATTCCAATTACACGGTGAACTCAGTTTTTCTCAAAGTCAAGGCTGTCGATGCCGACGACGGTGACAACGCCAAGATCGAGTACTCGATTCTGGAGCCATCGAATTCCGAGATCAAAAATATCTTCGGTATCAAGCCCGATACCGGTGCACTGTTTCTCAAAGAGTCACCAAAGAGTTATGGTAAGTTTTTTAAGTTGCTTGTAATATTCTTTCAAATTAGAAGTAAAATAACCGTTTCAATTTTTTTTTTTTTCAGAAAATCAACTGTTTCAACTATTCATCCGTGCTAAGGATAAGGGACCAAATTCTCGTCACGTCGATGTACCGCTGGATGTATTCGTCATGGGCTCGAACGATGTACCACCGCTCTTCGAGCGCAAGGACGACAAGTTCTTCGTATCGGAGACGTCGCCGATCGGTACACCGATCACACGCCTGAAGACGGTCAACAATACAAACAGAACTATCACGTGTCGCATCGTATCGTCTGGCAACGATTTTCCTTTCATCGTAGATCCGAAAAATTGTAGCGTCACTCTGTCAGCTAGCCTGGACAGAGAGAAGAAAGATAGCTATTTGATCGGCGTTTTAGCCGAGACCGATTCTAGTCCTCCCCTCACTGCTCTAGCCGAGATCAGTCTGCACGTGCTCGACGAGAACGATCACGCGCCCGAGTTCGAGAGCAATCCCTACAGCGTCGGCGTGGCCGAGAACATAGCCGAGGGCACGTCGATACTGAAGGTCATTGCGCACGACGACGATCTGGGCAGCAACGGCGAGGTTCGCTACTCGTTCGGCACGGACATCGGCGAGCTCGCCAATGTGTTCACGATAGACGCCTACACCGGCTGGATCTCCAACTTGGTGCAGCTAGACAAGGAAAAGCAACCGGAGTACAAGTTTCAAGTGGTCGCCACCGATAACGGCAACCCTCGACACTTTGCACGCACCTCGGTACTGGTGAAGCTCAAGGATTACAACGATCACTCGCCAGAGTTCGTCACGACCGAAGCGGGATATCAGGCCACTGTAAAAGAGGACGCCTTGCCAGGAACTGTAGTAGTTGAATTGACAACGACCGATAAGGACGTGGACATGAATACACCTGTGGATTATTACATCACCGCGGGAGATCCGCGCTCGCAATTCGCCATTCGTTCCACCGGCCAAGTTTACGTAGCCAAGGCGTTGGATCGAGAGACGATCGATCGTTACGAGCTCACGGTCGTTGGCACCGACGGCAAGTTCGTGTTCGAAACCAAAGTCACCATCCAAGTTCTCGACGTCAACGACAATCCACCCTACTGTCTACGCTATCGTTATCGCGAGGTACTCAGCGAGGGTTCGCATCCGGGCATCTACGTTTTGACGGTCCTCGCGACCGATTACGACGACGAGCCCAACGCCAAGCTTCGATTCTACCTGACGGGCGACAAGAACGAGAAGTTCTCGCTGGATAAGGAGACCGGTGTTTTGAAGACCGTGGGTCAGCTCGATCGCGAGACCCAAGCCAAGTACCTGCTCACGGCTCACGTGCAAGATCGCGACAAGCCCAGCTGGGAGTGCTCCTCGCAGCTGGAGATCGTCATCAGCGATCTCAACGACAACGCGCCGAAATTCAGCCAGCAGTCGTATAGCGCGACGCTGCCCGAGGACGTGGAGATCGGCACCCTGGTCACGAAGGTTCACGCTACGGACGACGATATCGGCATCAATCGCAAGATCAGATACGAGTTCATCGACTCGGCCAACGAGCACTTCACCATCTCGTCGGACAGCGGTATCGTCACCCTGGCCAAGCCCCTCGATCGTGAGACCCAAGCCATGTACAACGTCAGCATCAGGGCGATGGATCAGGGCGTGCCTCAGCTTCAGAGCATCACCTATCTCATTGTCAACGTTCAAGACATCAACGACAATCCACCAGAGTTCACGTCCAAGTACTATTTTGCGCGTGTGCCAGAGATCGACGCCGTCGGCACTGAAGTCGCTCGAGTGCTCGCCACTTCCAAAGACACTGGAGTCAACGCAGATGTCTACTACTCCATCGTTGGTGGCAACGAACACAAAAAGTTCCAGATCAATCGACTCACAGGAGCCATCTCCATCGCTGAACAGCTCGACTACGAGCGTGCCAAGGACTACTACCTGACCATCCAGGCGATCGACGGTGGTGTACCTCCACTGACTAATCACGCAACGGTTAACATCACCGTGCTCGATAGCAACGACAACGCGCCTATCTTCAGTCAGTCATCCTACCGAGGATCCGTGAACGAAGCGGCCAGCTTGGGTGAAGCGGTTGTTCAAGTATCCGCCATCGATCTGGACAGCAACGAGAACGGACAAGTGAGCTACACCATCGAGCGAGGCGATCGGCAGAAGCAATTTGCCATCGATCCGAAAACCGGCCTGATCACCGTGGCCGCCGCCCTCGATCGCGAGCAAACAGCCACTTACAATCTCGAGATTCACGCCAAGGACGCCGGATTACCGACCATGTCGAATTACGTGGTGGTCACCGTAGACATCGAGGACGCCAACGACAATCCGCCCCTGTTCGATCAGGCCAACTACACGGCCGTGGTGCAGGAGGACAGAGCGCAAGGCCACCCGGTGCTGCGTTTCAAGGTGACCGATGCCGACGCAGCCGAGAACGCGGCGCCCTACACTTTCGACTTTCGCGAGGGTAACGACGGCGACGCGTTCAGACTCGAGCAGGACGGCACGCTTCGTACCGCCATCAAGTTTAACAGCCGAGTGCGCGATCGGTATCGGTTGCACGTGCGAGTCTTCGACAACGGCACGCCGCCACTGTACAGCGACACTTGGGTCGAAGTCAAGATCATCGAGGAGTCGCAGTATCCACCTGTCATCACTCTGCTCGAGATCAACGTCAACTCTTATCGCGACGAGTATCCTGGCGGAGTGATCGGTCGTGTTCATGCGTCGGACAAGGATCAATACGACACTTTGCAGTACGCCCTGGTGCCTACCTCGCCATCGAGACCCAACACCGATCTCTTCCAGATAGACAAGCACGACGGAACTTTGGTAGCGTTGCCGAGACTCGACGTAGGCGAGTACCGCGTCAATGTGAGCGTGACCGATGGCAAGTACACGTCCTATTCCATCGCTAAAGTCAACATCGAGCTAATCAGCGACGACATGCTCGAGAACTCGGTGATCGTGCGCTTCCGCGAGGTCAGCCCCGAGGACTTTGTCCTGAAACATCGCCGTGGCTTCCTTCGCACCGTGCGCAACGCCATGAAATGCCGACCCAAGGACGTACTCATACTCAGCATTCAGCCGAGCACCGAGGCCGAGAACAACGTCATCAAGTCTCGAAGCGCCCGCCAAGCCGGAGCCGTTGTCCACAACGATCTGGACGTGCTGTTCGCCGTGCGCAAACCCGATCCCAGCGAGTTCTACACCTCGGCGAGCATACGCGAGGCCCTCAACCAGCACATCGAGGAGCTCGAGGCGTCCACCAAACTCGTCGTCGAGGACATCGTGCGCTACAAGTGCAGCAAGGGCCACTGCGTGTACGGCGAGTGTCGCGATCGCGTCGTCCTCGAGCCCCAGCACATCAGTCCGATCGCCACCGACGTGGTGGCCTTCGTGTCGCCGCGTCACCGTCATCGCACCGAGTGCAGCTGCAAGGAGGGCTACGCCGGCCAGCACTGCGAGGTCGTGGTGAACGAGTGCGCTCGCAGCCCCTGCCCCGGCTATCGGGTCTGCGTGCCCGACTCGTCGGTGCAGGGCTACTCGTGCCAGTGCGCCGAGGGCTTCGCCGGGCAGAGCTGCGAGATCGACATGTCCAAGTGCCACGACGGCTCGTGCTACATACCGCGCAATCCCATCAGCTTCAGCGGCAAGTCGTACGCGCGCTACAAGGTCGACGAGAGCCAGGCCAGCTCGACCATCGAGAAACAGCTGAGCCTGTCGCTGCGCATAAGGACCGTCCAGCCCACGGGCAATCTCATGTACGCCGCCGGCAAGATCGACTACAACGTGCTGGAGATCGTCAACGGCGCGGTGCAGTACCGCTTCGATCTGGGCAGCGGCGAGGGTCTGGTGCGCGTCAACAGCTTCTACATCAGCGACGGCCAGTGGCACGAGATCGAGCTGCAGCGCGACAGCAACACCGCCAGCCTCAGCATCGACGGCAAGCATCTGGCGCACGGCTCGGCCCCGGGCGTCAACGACATTCTCAATCTCCAGTCGGACGAGCTTTATCTCGGCGCCGAGGTCCGCCAACATCCGGCCATACTCGGCTTCGAGGACGTGCAGCGCGGCTTCGTCGGCTGCATGGACGACGTCCGTCTGGCTCGCCAATCGGTGCCGCTGCACGTGAGCGGCTCCGCCAGCGGTCTGCTCGTGCTCAAGCGCTTCGCCAACGTCGAGTTCAGCTGCGAGGCCACCAGTGTGCTATCGCCACCGGGCGTTTGTGGCTCGCAGCCCTGCCAGAACGGAGGCACTTGCAGCGAAAGCAAGAACGACAGCGACGACGACGGCTACGAGTGCCAGTGTCACGCCAGATTCCGCGGACGCAACTGCGAGATCGATACCGATCCTTGCGCCTCGTCGCCCTGCTTGTACGCCGGACGTTGTCGTGTGCTACACGAGCTCGGTGATTACGAGTGCGAATGCGTCGGGCCTAATCTCACGGGCAAACGCTGTGAGTTCGGACGTTATTGCAATCCGAATCCCTGCAAAAACGGCGGGGTCTGCGAGGAGGGCAACTCGGGCCCTATCTGCAAGTGCCAGGGCTACGCGGGCGAAAGGTGCGAGCTCGACGTCAACGAGTGCGAGCGCAATCCCTGCGCCAACGGGGCCACCTGCCTCAACGAACTCGGCACCTATCGCTGCGTCTGTCCACCCGGCACCACCGGCCTCAATTGCGCCAATCCGGCGAGCTACGCCACCGGCTTGATCACCCACAAACTGCACATCACCTGGGAGCATCTCATGTGGATCGGTGTCGCCATCGTGGTGAACATCGTGCTCATCGTCATCTTCGTCTCGTGTCGCACGCTGGCCAACAAGCGTCGACGTACGGCGGCGAACAATATCAACAACGAGACGAGAAAGGAGCTCGTTTTGAATTCGACCAGGCCCAACGATCACGAGTACAAGCGTAGCTCGAAGCTTAGTAATCTTGAAGTGGTACAGGTGAGTTTCCTCAACCCTCGAGCCATTTATTTATTTCCAATAGTGTTGATTGTTTAGTATATCATCATCTTATGCCCGACATGTCACACTCTGTGCTCTGTAGCGATCATCATTTTCGTTTATCTTAGAACGACTCATAAAACTCGAACTACATCATGTTATCGAAATTTTTTTGTATATTCATCATATAGAAACAACAAGTGCTGAATGTCGCTTGGCTGTGTTGTAAATGACACAAAAAAAACAACAAATCATCATCTGCTCTATCTGTTTTATTTTATTTTTCGTTTCTCCGTTTTCTTATGTTGCAGAGAGAATGTCCTCCCCAATGTCCTCCCCGTCCCGCCTCTTACACACCATCTTCGAACAACGAACAACAGGTATTACTCGGCTGCACCTCGGCCGCGGCGGTCGCGCTCAACAATCTCGACACGCTGCGCAGCTACGGCAGTGCCGGCGACGAGCTCGAGAACTTTCCGCCGGATTATCTGCGTAATCTCAATCGCAACACGGGCAGCAGCAACGGTGGTACGGCCAATACCATGATGATGCAGCAGCAGCAGCCGCAGTCGATTATGCCCGATCTGGCGCTGGACAAGCCGAGCTGGCAGGAGCAGATGCAGCTGGCCTCGTTCATCAGCGACGCGACGAAAATTAAGAACGGTGAGAAAGAGAGAGAGAGAGAGTCATGGAATACACAAAAAAACGACATATCACTCCTTCCAAGTGTGGCTCGTCAAACTCCTATGCTAATTATATTCGTTGGCTGCCGTACTATAGTCATTTTTATGTGAGCTTAGATGCGCTCCGGTTTACTGTTCGTTATTCATACAAAATCTGTTCTTAGATTCCATATTACATTTTCTATTTTCTCTAATGTTTGTTATTTTTTATGCAAAACTCATTTTGACTTGAAATTTCGCAGACCTGAAACGAGCTAGCCCAGTGGTATCAGAATCGACCACTGGAGGACTATTACTGAACTCGATACGTCGACCAGCAATTCATACTGGTGGGACATCCATTGCTTCTCTTTCTTCAATCGAGGACGATCCACGCATTGTCGGTGGTAAGTTCATTATTTTTAATCTGGCTTTGGTTAACACTGCTGCTGAAAGCGAGACAGCTTTTATCACTTATACACTTTTATATGGCTCATTATTTTATAAATGGTGATGGTACTTGGAAAAAAAAAAAATAATCGCATGCTTTTGATAAAATATAACAATGGTGATGGAATTATGCTTTATTATAATTAAAAATAACAAAAAAAAAAAAGAAAAATAGACAAGAGCTGTCTCGCCTGGGCGACGTTGAATACAGTTTGTTGTCTTCCGACACTTGTAGGTTACCATTGGGACTGTTCAGACTGGGTGAGACCGAGTCATAATCCATTGCCCAACATAACGGAAGTACCCGGTAGCGAAGTGCCGGATTCGTCCAGCTTTCACAGTAACGAGAGCAACGAGTCGAACACGCATCAGGTGCCGCTTTGTAAGTATAATTGTCTCTCGTCTACGAAAAGAATGCAGAGCAATTTTTTGATTTTCTAACGACGGAATTTTTGTTGAATTTCAGTGCATATCGGTTCACTCGATCCGACGCGCGACATCACGACCCTGAACGAGGACCAGGAGTCGGAGTACGTCGGCGACTCGGAATGCGGCACCGATCTATCCGAGCACTACTACCTGCACAAGCACCACGAGCCTCTCCTGCTCTCGGACAGCAGCGTAACTCAGCGGCTGAATCCACTCGACAGCGGCAGCGGCGAGGCCGAGTACAAGTACAGGAGCAGCGAGAGTTACCTGCGGCATCCTAACACGTATCTGCCGCACTACAACATCCACACGGACACGGAGAGCGAGCAGCAGTCGCAGCAGCAGCCACTGAACGGTGGCGGCGGCGGTGGTTCCGCGACGACTCGACTTCTGACGGCGAACAAAAAGAAAAACAACGGCGTCCTCGGCGGCATACTCGCGTCCGACGACGAGCACGACAACAACGAGGACGACGAGGACGAGGACCAAGATCTCGACGACGACGACGAAGACAACGTAGTGCCTTACGGTTTCCCGAGCGCTCGGCGCAATCGCTGCGCCCGCGCCACCGACCTCGTCATCGGCACGCTCGACGAGCGCAACTCCCTGCTGGGCAACGGCAACGGCCAGAACGGCGCCAACAATAGCAACAGCGACCTGTCGACGCACCTGTGCGAGATCGACGACGCCGACTTCGAGATCGCCCAGCAGAAGCAGAGCAACGGCCGTGCCTGGCACGTCGGTGGTGTCACTCAGACCTCGGTCTGATGCCTCGCGCAGGTCACGAGCGCAGCAGTACTCTCCTTGTAAATAGACAACAACAAAAAAATCGTATTATCGTGTATTCTATATATCGTAAAATACCTCATTGTAAACATAAATCCACACCTCCGACACACTCAACTCACACTCGAGACTGTATAGGCAACTAAAAATCATGTGCATCGTTCTAGGATAAATATTACATATACTTTCTCATACTCCGTGTACCTATACTTTTATTTTATCGTAATCTTGTGTATTATTTCATGATGCCTTCGTCCCTTACGGTACTTAAACTTATATCGATCATGATTTGATATTTAATTAACGAACGCGCCGTTTTATCGAACGGAACGGGTAAGTTTTTAGGTTTTTATTTTGCTTTTCATTGATAAATTATTGATATCGAAACGAAGCGTGTAGTATACCGCCCATAACGTAGACCAATGACTATTATTTAGCATTTAGTACATACGGATAAGATCTTTTATTTGTTTTTTTTTTTTTAAATCTTTTAATCGAATGTTTCATTTTAAGATTCAAACGCACGCTTTAGATGTGCAAAGTGTACATTGTTATTGTAAGTTTTGACTGTAGTAACGAATGAAATAGAGTAAAGACTTCTAATCTATGTTTTTGTGAATAATTTTAAGTTGTGAGCCATTTGTTTTCTTCACGTGAGCTAGGCTAATATTAATTTGCGTTCAAATTTTTCTATCGAATTATTTTTAAGATTTTATCAGACTATTATTAAGCACTAAAGAATTTAAAACAACAAATGTGTAAATCATAAGGCGAAAAAGGAACAATGTATAAAGAAAAAATGTAGTTCAAACACTGCAGCGAATCTTCCGCGATTCGATAGATTGTGTAAAATAAGATGCAGGCATTAGTTCCCTATATTAGAATTAAAATGAATAAATGAGAAAATGAAGAAGAAATTTATTTTTACTGTGATGATAATAATGTTTATACGTCGAAATGATCAAATAACTTCAGCTATTATAAACTATATTGTATAATAACAATGAGATATTATGTTGTGGAGTATCAGAGAGAAATTATCAGTGTAAATGATCAAATTACGATTTAACAACGTTATCAAGTGCGATCTAACAAAGCCTATTGTGCTAGGCTATTTCTAAACCTAGATAATAACGATTTATTTATAAAAAAAATTACTATAATTATAATGTGTTGATTTCTGTCTAGTCTTGTTCATAGACAGGTTTTTTCGATGAATGATTTTCATCAGCTCAAAGTTTTTTCGAAATCCCTATACTGCCTTACTCGAAACATGGAAAATGGTGCTGCATACGTTTTCTTTTCTAAAAAAAAATGAAGTAACCCAGCAAATTTCCATCTTTGTATCTCTTCATGTAAGACTGGTTGTAAAATAAACTCTTATTACCTATACTACTTGGCACTTGATAGCAATTGTGTTCATTCGTATCTTTTCTATATCTTTCGAGTCGATAAAAAAGGTTTTTTATCTTTTATAAATTTTACACTGCTCTGTAATTGAAATATGATTTTGTAAATTTCTACCGTTTGTATATGCCATAGAAATAATCATAATCGAATGAAGTTTGGCTTTATGTAAAATACCAAAATGTTTTCGAGTTTCTTTAACATTTCATTCCGAATATGACAGAGTATTGAATACCATAGGATGTTCATTAAGCCTTTTAACAGCTGATTTGCGTTATCGGCGATTGTGTATCATCGAAGGCAGCTTATTCGATTTCTTTTATAATTTTAGTTGTATAGACCAATTTATAATTACGATAATTAATTTTGTAATTGTATTTATGAAGCGATTCTAAAGTTTCTTTTATTTTTTAAAGCGTTGTGAATAAAAGCATAAGTGAGCGTAATATTAAATGAAAAAAAAGTGAACGTTGAAGTTGATCGAGCGTTTCTTATGTTCCTGCGTTCTTGCCCTACAAAGCATGGTGGCAATCACACATTATACAAAAGAAAGAGAAAAAAAACACAAACTCACGTTTATAAAATATACATATTCAATGGTTAGGTGGGCGAGACGATATCAAATAAATTATACATATAGCAAAGTAATTTTTTGTTTTTACGGCCATCCATGCTTATACACGAAAAGACGCTACACAGGGTGATAATATTTAAATGTTTGCGTTTGTTCGATGGACGTAATGTGAAACGTGTAAATGTAAAAGAATGCGACAAAAAAGAGAGCCTATAATGTAATATAATCAAATAAAAAAAATGATAAAAAATTAGTCAGGCTGTTGTCATTCCATTACCCTTGCTTACTAAGCGATTTCCTCCTAAAAGCGATGGGCTGATCGTGTCATGGCAATAAACGTATTGTGTTCATCCTGAATTATAATTGATCAGAGTGGAACTATAATAGCAAAATAATATTTCTAAATAATATTCTACCATATTAAATACAAGATGCACTTTGGCATCGAGTTAGCTAGATTGTCACTACTTGCAGAGCTTTTTTATCGAAGATTGTAATAGTTCAATTTTACGCGTGTACGAATATCAGTTGTTGGAGTTGGCATGCTAAGGAACTTAGGAAATAACTATGGATTCAAGACAAGGAATTTTACTGGCATATCAATAAGGAGCAGATTTAACTGATAATAGGAAGATCAGTTCAGCAACAATATTTCAAAAAATGAATACCGAAACCGTGTTAATAATTGAATTTATGACTATAAGATGAGTAACAAATTTTTTTGAAGTCACAAAAAAATGAATAACAGTTTCAAATATTTTATTATTCTTCGCAAAATGAAACAATATTAATGTGAAATGTTTTCCAAAATTGCATAGTATATGGCCAATTCTCTGTGAAATCGAATGGCCAAAAAATTTTTTTTTCTGCAAATATGAAAAACTTGCTGTTCCCGATGTCAGAAATGTCCCCAAATTTTATTAGAATTTTTGGGACTATCTATCACTCTTTTTCAGAGGCCCGAAGTTGGCCATTTTAGGGTTTTTTTAAAATTCATGAAAAATCACAAATATTCAAATAATTCCTGGAATAAAGTAGAATGATTCAAAAGTAAAAGTGCCCAGCAACTTTTTTGTTGGAAATTGTCCAAATTTTCAGAAAAAAAATATGCCAAAGTGATTGGAACAATCTAGGTAAATGTAAAGCAAAAAAACTGCAAAAAAAACATAAAACAAGAAATCTACTCGAGTTCGAACCGGACTTTCATTTCCTAAACTATGTAAAAAGCTTCCCAAAGATGTCAACTACTGCCTGATAAAGTTTTGTAATGGGTCTTAAAGTTTAACTCAATGTAGACAACAATGTGTGGTGAAAAACGTGCAAAAAAGGACTGAAAATGGCTGTTTTTGGTGATTTTAGGCATTTTGGGCCTATTTTTGACCTTTTTTGCATGTTTTTCGCCACACATTGTTGTCTACATTGAGTTAAACTTTAAGGCCCATTACAAAACTTTATCAGGCATTAGTTGACATCTTTGGGAAGCTTTTTACACAGTTTAGGAAATGAAAGTTCGGTTCGAACTCGAGTAGATTTCTTGTTTTATGTTTTTTTTGCAGTTTTTTTGCTTTACATTTACCTAGATTGTTCCAATCACTTTGGCATATTTTTTTTCTGAAAATTTGGACAATTTCCAACAAAAAAGTTGCTGGGCACTTTTACTTTTGAATCATTCTCCTTTATTCCAGGAATTATATTAATATTTGTGATTTTTCATGAATTTCAAAAAAACCCTAAAATGGCCAACTTCGGGCCCCTGAAAAAGAGTGATAGATGGTCCCAAAAATTCTAATAAAATTTGGGGACATTTCTGACATCGGGAACAGCAAGTTTTTCATATTTGCAGAAAAAAAATTTTTTTGGCCATTCGATTTCACAGAGAATCGGCCATATGCATGTCAGAAGAAAAGTTTTCATTGGGTTTAAATATCTTAAAACAAATCTAGAGCTCCTAAGTTTTACTCCGATTATGTATTGTCATAATAGTTTCCCCTCATCCCCAAATGATTTTTGACAAATCTCACATTCAAAGGGTTTGCTTCGATTATGTATTGAATTTATGTGCCTTTCAAGATGACTTTTTATTCCAAATGATTTGTGAAAAATTTCACATTCAATGGGGTTTGATACTATTATGTACTGTATTAACGTGGCTTTTAAGGTGACTTTTTCGTCCAAATGATTTGTGGCAAATTTTGCACTCGAAGGGTTTTTTACGATAATGTACTGCATTTATGTGTCTTTTGAAATTACCTTTTATTCCGAATGATTTGGGACAAATGCTACACTCAAAAGGCTTTATAAGATCATGCACTGCTATTATGTGTTTTTTGAGATCGTTTTTGTATCCAAACGATCTGTGACAAATATTACATTCAAAGGGTTTGTTACGATCATGTACTGCATTGATGTGTTTCTTAAGGTCACCTTTGTATCCAAATGATTTGTGGCAAATATCACAATTGAAAGGTTTACTTTTATTATGTACTAAATTTATGTGAACTGTGAGGTTACATTTTTTTCCAAATGATTTATGACAAATATCACATTCGAAAGGCTTGCTCCGATGATGCACTGTATTTATGTGATTTTTGAGATGAACTTGTTGTCCAAACGATTTATGACAAATGTCACACACGAAGGGCTTGTTACGATCATGTACTAAACGTATATGCCTATTAAGATTATTTTTTAGTCCAAATGATTTGTGGCAAATATCACATTTGAAAAGTTTACTTTCATTATGTACTGAATTTATGTGAACTGTGAGGTTACCTTTTCGTCCAAATGATTTGTGACAAATCTCACATTCATATAATCTAATGCTTTTGAGTGTCGTATCAATGTATGTATTCATTCTTGCTTCTTTTTTCATGAAAATCATTCGACTTTTTTGAGGCAAGAAACTAATCTGAACTTCCTTTTTTATTTTCACAATTGTTGGATATTTTTCTTTCTCAGATTTGCACATACCCGTCGATGGAGACGGCACATCAAGTTTTACATCTTTGCACTCAAAATCGACAAATGTGTATTCATTTATAACATTGGTCCGATCTTCGTATTTTACTTTCACAGTTGGTAGGCAATTTTGATTCTCGGATTTACAAATGTTTTGGGGGGGAAAAGGTATTTCAAGTTTAACATCTTTGCACTCAGAAGTGATGAACATTTTTTCATCTAACTCATCCTCATACGCGTGATGTGCCTAAAATTAAAATTGAGTAACAGTTTTTGATAATTGAAAAACGAAACATAAATCAAATAATTCTACTTACTGGTGATTTATGAAATGGAAACGTTTCAAAGTTTTTAGTCTCGCAAGAGTTCACCGAATTGATCATAATATAATCATCGCCTGCATCTGGCCAAATGTTGCCTGGTTCGTACTTTACTCTGAAAAATAATCCAGTTTATTGAAGCTATTGCTTTAAAAAATATCATAGTATATACAATAAATATTTATACCTAACTGTGCCTTCTCTGATTCCATCACTCGCTTGATTATAACATGTAATCGCACTCTAAATTTTTATAATTTACCCCGAGTAATTATTAAAGGTTAATCGCCTCGAGTAGTCAACACTGTATGTACCTCAAATTCACCAATTCGTAAACACTTGCTTACTGAGGAATTCATATCCTCGCTTGCGATTGAACGCACTACTTGCAATCATATAACGAGTGGCAACCACGACTGTGATAGCTACTTGGTGGATACCTTCCCCCTCTACCATCGACTTAACTCTTCAAGTCGAAAGCAGGTAAGTCGGTAATTTCGACTGCAAATCGCAAAACGTTGTAGTGATTCGTGCCCTTTACGAATTCTACAGACTTGAACGAAAGGCATTATATCCTTCTATCCTTATTATGATTATCCTTATAATTATATCTTTGATGCGGGTAGAAAAAAAATTCATTTATATGCGGCAAAACTAATTCAAAATAAGCACTTTGTGAAGCTCTACAAATTGTATACTTCTCAGCACCACCTCGCGATGAAAGTGCTCAAACTCTACATTTGCGTTATTATTTACGTTCGAACAGCAAGTACACTGTCAATCGAAATATTCGTACACAGTGTGTCCACGCGCGTGTCAGCGAGTCAACGTAACGATTTTCGTGCAATACATAATAAACACGCGCAATGGAAGATACTTCGAAATCTGCAGCTCGAACCGAAGGCGACGAGGAGGAGCTGGAGGACGAGGAAGAGGAGGATGAGGAGAATCAGGATCAGGAGACGATCGGCTCGATGGGCGAGATCGAGGAGATGAGGTACATACACTCGCCGCAGGATCGCGATCTGTGGAATTTGACCCTGCCCTCGGGATTTTTGAATCGATTGTCCTCGCTCAGCCTTGTGGAAGATAAAAGCAACGTCGAATCTGAAGCATCGGAGGTCGACAAGTAAGCTATATTATCATTTTTTTTCTTTCATTTCATTCGTCTTTCGTCATTAAATCCTAAGTTTCATTGACGAAAATTCGGACTCGGCTACTGCTGCTGCGACTGGGGCTCAGGGGTACATTGGTCATCGACCTCACGTCATACGTGTTTACAGCAGCATAACGCGGCATTCTTATTTACATCGTATAAATCGCACGAAACGCGTCCCACTCATCTACGCTTTTAATTCCAAAACCTTCAGCTTAAGCTTGCTCAACGTATCGGACCTGAGCGTCGAGCAGATAGAGCCAACACCGAAAAAGCGAGAAAAAAGCATCGTTCTGTCGAGCAGCGAGGAGACGTCCCCCGACGTCGTTTACCTGGGCAAACGTCGCCGACAGTCTTGCGAGGAGGACGCCGACGACGAAAACGATGAGAGCCCCGAAAACGCCAGCAGCAGCTGCGGCCAGTACGACGAGGAGACGGACCTCAGCAAATTCGTCATGGGCTACTGGCGCAATTCCGAGGAGGAGGGGCAGCTCGGGCTCGATCTGCCGGATCGGCAGATCCTCGACGACGAGGATAACGTCGACGACGACGGCGACGACGAGGAGGAGGAGGAGGAGGAAGATCTCGATACCACCGCAGAAGTCACGCAGGAGACGTTTCTCACGGCTAGCGACGAGTGGCTGACCGACTCGCCGGTCAAAGTTCATCTGCCCTCTTGCAGCAGCAGTTGTTGCGCAGAAGAGCAGCCCAGCACCACCGAAAGGGCTATGAAGAGTAATTATTGTATACTTGCGAAGGAAAAAATGTTAGGATCGCGTTGACTCGTCATGTATTATATATTCCGCAGACGTTCCAGGACCAGCGCAAAACCGACTGACCGAGGGAGAGATCTTCGACAGCGAGACCGGCTTGCCGCGCCTCAAGCTGCTGCGCGATCACTTGCTGCGCGAGGGAAGATTGGAGGAGTCGGCGGTGCTGCGCATCGTCAAGCAGGGCGCCGAGCACTTCGCCCGCGAGCCCAACCTCATCAAAGTTCCCGCTCCCGTCACGAGTAAGCGACGAGAGTCCCTTTTGTTCCAAAGGATATATCTCAATTAAAGCCGGCATGTTTTTTGTATAGTTTGCGGCGACATTCACGGCCAGTACTTCGATCTCATGAGGCTCTTGGAGCTCGGCGGTTCGCCCACCGACACCACCTACCTGTTCCTCGGCGACTACGTCGATCGGGGCTGCTTCGGCATCGAGTGCGTCCTGTACCTCTGGTCGCTCAAGTGCTGCCACCCCGACACCTTCTTCTTGCTGCGCGGCAATCACGAGTGTCGCCACCTCACCGCGTACTTCACCTTCAAGCGCGAGTGCGAGGTCAAGTACTCGCTCCAGGTCTACGACGCCTGCATGCTGGCCTTCGACGCTCTGCCGCTGGCCGCCCTCATGAACGGCCAGTTCCTCTGCGTGCACGGCGGACTGTCGCCCGAGATCCTGAAAGTCGAGGACATCAATAAAATCGAGAGATTCAAGGAGCCGTCGTCGCACGGCGCCCTCTGCGATCTGCTCTGGTCCGATCCCGAGGAGCACTACGACGACGGAGCGCAGAAGGATTTTTACGCGTACAATTCGACGCGCGGCTGCTCGTATTACTACAGCTACGCGGCCGTGTGCGACTTTCTCGAGCGCAACGGCCTGCTGGGAGTGATAAGGGCTCACGAGGCGCAGGACGCCGGTTACAGGTTATACAGGGCGACGAGCAACAAGTTCCCGTCGCTCCTGACGCTGTTCAGCGCGCCGAATTATCTCGATGTCTATGGCAATAAGGTGCGCGAAGCTGGCACAACGCGATAGCTCCTCTTTTTCATTTTTTTATCGCAATTCTCGTTTGTTTCAGGCTGCCATACTGGTGTACTCGAACAACAATCTTAACATAAAGCAGTTCGACGCTATGCCGCATCCCTACTGGTTGCCCAATTTCAGCAACGTCTTCGAATGGTCCATACCGTTCGTTGGCGAGAAGGGTAAGAAGCAAAATCTTTTTTCGATATTATATTATTTGATTATAAGAAATTGAAAATTATTAAGAGTGATTGTTATTTTTTCAAAGTGACGGACATACTGCTCGCCGTACTGAACATCTGCTCTGAAGAGGAGATAAGTCAAGGCGAGGACGATTCCCTCAATGATTCACAAGGAATGTCGACTGCCAGTCGTAGGGACATAATAAAAAATAAAATTAAAGCCGTTGGAAAGATGTCGCGCAACTACTCCTTACTCAGGTATATTAAAAAAAAAGACAAAGAGACGGAAAAACATTCATTTTTTTTGTTTTTTTTTTTTTTTTATTCATTTATGTACAGGGAGGAGAGCGAAACGATCATGCAGTTGAAAGGCTTGTCACCCAATGGCTTGATGCCACCTGGAACACTGGCCGAGGGCAAGGAAGGCCTGAAACGAAGTGAGTTTTTTATGAACGAGCTCTATTTCTGCTTCATAACGTTCATAAATTTATTTTTTTTTTTTTCTTTTTTCGCAGCTCTAAGAAAACACCTGACGTTCGACGAAATCAAAAAGCTGGACGCGTCAAACGAGTGCATGCCACCCTTGCCGCCAGAGCTGAGCAGCAGTGCCTCGCGACAATTCCAGTCAAGAAAAAGTATTTAACGTTTATGTTATGATTAATGCGATTATAAAAAGCTGTATAGCTTTTTCTCAGTTGATCAATAAAAATAAAATTTTAAAATTTTACGCATAGTATTTTAACTTTATTAAAATACCGTCTGTCAAAGTTCCGAGAAAATAGTTTTTTTATGAGTTCGTTAATGTGTTTATTCGTAAGTGTCTTATTCAAACGAAATTTTCTTTACACTTATACTACTTATTATATTATTAATATCACTCATGCATATGGTATTCATTGCGATGAATGCGAAGTCTTAAGTGTGGAAATTAAAATTTTTATGTATTTTCAGTAATTATAACCTCCATATGTTTTTTTGCATTAAAATGCATTAATGACTAATGTATTTTTAGACACTATTATTGATTATTTTTTTCAACATTATTAATGTTGAGAATTTCTTGCAGGGCGCATTGCGCTTAACAGCTTTCTTCAATAATTATTTAAAAAAAGCGTTCTTTCATGAATTTGGTTTCAAACTATTATACGCATGTAAAAATGGATCATTTTTTCAGACACAGCATTTAAAAAATTGTTTAATGTTATTTATGGCTCCACCACTAGATGGCGAGTACCTTCATCTGTAAAACTGCAAGTGGTAAATCAAAAAATTTTTGATTTTACCTTCTACTAATGGTAACCCAAGCTCCATAAGTAACCCCAGGTAACCCCCCCCCCCTCGAAAAAATTTACACATCGTAATACAATATGTTTTGAATCTACGCGAAGGTATTACGCATGACTATTTTATCGTGTTTAGGCAAACTTTAAAAATTATGTACCCTGTGATTTGTTTTATTTGAAATTTTAACCGTATAAATAATTTATTACTCATAAATTTTTAAATTCTATATACAATTTTACGTAAGGTAAAGCGGGGGAATACGCCATAGCTAAGGAAACAATTGGAATATAAAAATAATGAATGTATGAAATCAAATCTTAAGCATTGAGGACAGTAAAAAACACGTTTATATATCATAAGAAAAACAAAATTATAACTTTATATTGTTATTTTAATAGTTATAACAAATTTAGCAACTTGGTTTCAAAGTGGCGTTTCCCAAGCATGCGGGGAAGGAGCCGCCCCGATTGGAGCAATATGTTCTTAATCTGAATGCAATGAAAAAAATGAAATACTAATTCATTTTCGGAATCTCCTAGCATACTATCATGGCCAAGCTTGCATAATGTATTGTCATTATCTAGATGTCGTTAACAATTCCCACTTAAACATTTCATTGAAAAATAAATGAATGTTTGCACATTGAACTTTACGAAAAATTTTCACAGCAGTGAAAAATCAGCTATTTTGTGTCGATGTAATCGGATTATCATAACGAAAATTCCAATAGGTCACTAAATCTAAATTTTCTTTCTTATAACGATAATATAGCAAAGTGGCATTTTCTCCGAACTGGCGTTTCCCCCCACTTTACCTTACACTAAAACTAAAATAAGTTTCAAGTCGTTTCATTTTTTATTCGTTTTCAATCCTCCATATAAACTAAAAAATGCAACTTTGCCACTAGTTTTAGGCTCTTGGGCCATAAAGTATTGTACGTAATTATGTGAATAAGCTTTTTAATCGAAACGAGGGGTCGCAGCACGAGCCGAAGACGAGTCGATCAACACCCGTTGCATAATAGTAATTTTCGATACAAGTGCCATAAGTAACACTTTTTGGCACGGCGTAGTTTAGGGCCCGAGCGCAGCGAGGGTCCTAATAGCTGGGCCGAAAAGTGTCCTCTATGGCCCGAGTATCGAACAACGTTTTATAGTACTGTGCAAAGTTCACATTTATGCCCCCTTTTCCGATGCATAAGTCGCACTTTCTGGTAACGCGAAGTGAGGTTAGCGCACGAGCGTATGCGAGTGTGATGCGAACGCAGCGGTGCCAGAATGTGCGACTTATGCCACCGAAAAGCGTGCCATAGATGTGAACTTATGCCACGCAGTGCTATAAATGTTATTTTAGAAATTTTACGGTCATTGGTAAGAGGTAATTTGAGTCTATCCTACATGTTCAATTGATTTTGTTCATATGTAAGCCAAAAAGCTCTGGGTACGCAAAGTGATATTTCGTGCTGAAAGTCTGAATGCACATGTACGAAAGTATTATTGTAGTAATAAAAGATTAACCATTGACTAAGAATTGTTTCATGGTTAATGGGTAAACAATGTGCACACAATGAATCTTTGACGATTATTTCGATATTTTAATATTTTAATGAATTATCTTCGTAATTGTTGTAACTGTAGCTCATAATTGTAAGTACATCTTTGACGATTATTTTGATTATACTTATTATAATCGAATCGTAAAACATTACAATGAATCGGTCACGTTGATATTGAAGTTTTGTTGTTGCTAATATATTATCATGAAAACAATACAATACTTTGCTGGAATCCAAACTTATTTATAAGTTATTTTCAATCACGTTAAAATTTAAGATTTTTCCCGTACAATCGAATACCAGAACTAAACTAAGCCCCGACACTCTTATTTTTATAAATAAAAGGCTATTTAAGAAAAAATGATAAAACCCAAGTACGTTAAATTGTAAAATTCAAACCTACTTTAATTCATAATTTATTTGAATAAATAAGTCAAGAATATAATGAAAAAAAATTTGATGTTTCAGCCACCGGTGTTTTTGATCAGTTCCGTATCCATTTGTATGTCATAGCTTATGATAACTTAACTAAAAATTGTTTTAAAAAGTTTCAAATTATAAAACGACAATATATAAGCTTAATTAAAACATTTTTTTTAAATTAATTTAATTGTGTTTTATTACCTAATCAACTACAAGGTTGAGATGAAAATGCGTGATCGTTGAAAAAGTGAGGATTTCAATTATAATATATCTATGTTTCTTCCTTTACTGATACGAGCTTATTTTTGATTTGTAATCTATAAAACAAACGTTAAGCGTGCTAATTGGCTAATATTTTTCATATAAATACGCATGGTGGTTATAATTCACTCATCAGTTGCAAACACTTGACAATTCGAACGATTTCAAAATGGCCAAGTTAATTTACGCGTAAGTATACATTTCTTTCAAACGTACATTATACGCATATAATTTTCAATGAGGTATATTTGTCACTAATAAAAATGATTAATAAAAACAAATCATTCTGAGGGCGCTTTGAACATACGTAGAAAAATGTTTATTGTCAAACTTTTAGGCTGTCTTCTGCAGACTATATTATAGAATCTATACAATTTAATAAAGTATGTTTTTTTACGTTTTTAGTTTCCTCGTTGTAGCGGTCTTGATGTTGAGCGAACTTTGCTCACCAGCTTTAGCTAGTGGTGGTTTTGGAAGCGAGACCTGGGGCTTGGACGAGTTCCACCGTGGTATGAGTAACTTTATGTCAGGACAAGGATTTGGAGTTATGCATGGTCTTGAAGGCCGTCCAATCAGTGGATAATAACTAAACTAAGCTATTTTAATGTATCGAGAACAGATTCAAATTTGTGTAATATTCAATATGTCCTTGCAATTAATAAAAGTATAACGGAAAAATATTGAAAATTTGGCCTTTTTTATTCTTTCAAATGACACAAAAAAAAAATAAAAATCAATCGTAATACCCAAGAATTAAGGAAATTAACTCAAAAACGACGTCGAATCCAATTCTGACAGAATTCTGTTGTCAGCTGGAATGATAATATTCTCAATATATTATCATATATTGATAATGATAATGATTGATTGATAATAGTGACGATTAAAAAAATAGCAAACTTGGATAGGACAGACGAGCGCTAAAAGTATGACTAGTTAATTTTTAATGTTCCTAAATTTTGCTAATTCATTCACGTTATTTATCGTACAGAATCACGTTTACCAGAAGCCGCACTCGGCTCACTACATAACTACGTCGTACTACCTCGACAGTCCAACAAAAGCTCGGCCGACGAAGAAGACGCCGCAAGCAGCCGCAACTACCACAGCGGCTATAACGACGACGAGTAGCCCTACCAGCAGCACAAGTAGTGCTTCTTACATAGAGAATGCAACGACGAGTACCAGCACTACGACAACGACGCCTACGATCGTCAAAACATCATTTCCGGAGTCATCGACGACGACCACTGGCTCTCCGCTGAGAACTGTCTCGGTCTTGACGATACCCGCGGCCTCGGAGAAGAACGGAATGTCCTGCGGACTACCGTCGCTCTTTCCGCGACCCAAGACGAGGATAGTCGGCGGCAATTAGGAGGCACCCTTCGGCAAGTGGCCCTTTTTCGGCTTCTCGAGCACGCACGGATGCGGCGGTGCCGTGCTCAACGAAAATCGGATCACCACCGCAGGACGCTGCGTCGACGAGTGAGTATACTTTTTGCACAATTCGTTGCTATGTTTTCGATTGCTCGTGGCAACTTCCAAAACGATCCCTTTCAGCTACAGCACACAAGTCATGTACACCAGCGAACTTAGATACTCGGACCACGAAAATGTGCAATCGATTAGTCGCATCCTTTACTGTGCAATATAAGTGGTGAAATCAACAAAACTCGAATAGGCACGGCGAAAATAAAAATTGTCGAGCATAAGGCTGATCGATCAACGACTCAAGCGGTACGGAGTGCCGGTGACTTGAATTCACGACAACGATTATCAGCGAGTACAAGCAATGAATCGGAATCACCTTCATCCTCTAGCGACCAACGGATGCACCGACTTATGAAAAGTGAAAAAAAAAAACGGTGAAAAGAAAGTGCCGCTGCGAGGAATAATCGACATTGGTCAAATCGATTTGCCATAGAAATGCGTTATTTACAATTTGATAAGTCAAAACGCGAAATTATCCCGTAAGTGGTTTCAAAATTCGTCTAGAGAGATTATGTTGATAAACCATTTGAAAAAACGCCCTTTTTAAACCTGCATTGAGAAAAAACATTCCAAAGAATTCGAATTTATTTTTTTTTTTTTCAATAATTTATTTACAATTGATACTGCTGAAATCTTATCAAATCGATTTGAGGGAGGGATAATTTCATTCATTTAAAACGCTATGATTGGTCCACCGTTTTCACGGCACGATTTGTAAATAATATTAAATGTAATCGAAGTTCGCTCAATTGAAACAAAAAAAATAAGCGTCCACGAAATTCTAATCGATAAAGATGGAATTAAACGGTTTATATGGTAAAAATATTCACTTTTCAGGATTACTGCTAAAAAATTTAGTGTGAGTTGATGATTGAATATGACTATTATGTAGTAAAATATTTTAAAATAATATTTTCATGCATGTTAAATTTTATTAAAAGCCTATACGGTTTAAAATAGACTCAAAGTCGCCATCAATACAGTTTCAACTCTTGTGATATATGCCAAAAAGTCATTTACAAAAAAGAGTAATCTCTAAAGCCAATGACATATCTGTATGTGATCTATGCTAAAAGTCATTCGCACAAAAGAGTCATCTTAAAATCCACATAGTGTCGTCATCAACTTATATTATACAGAGATCTATATTACACTCGGGTGCTGTGTTTTCAAAGTTTCCTCGGCTACGAAGTAATATCAAGCATCGATCAACACGTACCAAAGCGTCAAATTTCGTATTGTGTTGTGCGATACATAGGCGTGTGTTTACATTATTACTTGGGCGCTCGGCTCGAGCAACGGTTTTCGTTCGACGATTTTGGCGCCTTTTAGTCGTTCAGTTCACGTCGCGACATCGCAGAGTGATTGCAGGGAGATACAGTAACGAGTGCCGCGAGTGATTTCACGCGATAAAAAAAATACAACGATAAAAATGGCAATTAACTTTATAATCTCCGACGACGAATCCAACGCAAAACGGTGCGAAACGACCGACGGGTCTGACGCGAAACGGCGTAAAATCGCCGACGACGAATCCAGTGAAAAATTGAAGCATCTAGTAGAAAATACCAATTGGGAGGTCGAAGAGGAGCGACGCGAACTGCTCGAGCAACTCAATAGCTTGATCGGCGAATGGGTGGGTCCACTGCCGAATCTCCGAGAGGTGTTTCGAAAGGAGGAGATCGATCTGCTTCTCATCGAGTTCGCGCGGTCCTTTAGCCCCGCGCAGCTGGAAAAACTCGTCAAGTTCGTGATCGCGAGCGGCTACGAGGACGAGGGCTCGGACTCGCGGGGCCTGCGCACGACGCTGCTGCATCGCGTGGTCAAGCTCAACCATCCGCCGCTGTACCGCGACGAGCTGATCCGCGATCTGTTCAAGATCTACAACGAGTTCAAGATCAACTGCCTGGACGAGGAGACGGGCCTGACGCATCTCCACGTGGCCTGCATGTCGGGCCTGGACGACGTCGTGAAGGAGTTCCTCGAGCACGGCCAGGATCCCAACTGCTTCGTGGCGGCGACCGAGGACTCGCCGCTGCTGCTGGCACTGAAGCACGGCCGCAAGTCGGTGGCCGAGCTGCTGCTCAAGAGCGGCGCCCTGCCCAACATGGACGACAACGAGGGCGTGACGCCTCTGCACGTCATCTGCGAGAGCAACGAGGAGGCCAATCTGCCGGAGACGTTCTTCGAGATCAACGACGAGAAGAGGCAGGCGGTGCAGGTGAACGCCTGGAACGAGGAGGGCTGCACGCCGCTGCAGCTCGCCGTGACCTACCTCATGCCGCGGGTGGTCGCTCTGCTGCTCGACCGAGGCGCCGACATCGACAAGTTCACCTTCCCCGACGCGAGCGACTTGGTCGAGGCCTGCACGAGCAGGGACGACGAGTCGAGCCTGAGACTGGTCGCCGGCGCTCTGGCCGTCTGCGACGTCCTCGAGGCCCACGGATACGCGTTGAAGGCGAGCGACGCCCAGACGATCCTGGAGTTCTTCGCCGAGCACGAGCTCTTCAAGAGGACGGCCGACATCGCCGAGCGCTGGTACGACTGCGAGGAATTCGTCGCGTTGGCCGACAAGATCGCCATCAAGCCGAGCATGTCGCTCTACCTGCTGATCCGCATGCAGCCCGAGGAGCCCGAGCAGGTCGTCAGCTACCTCGAGTTCTGGCAGTTCGCGGAGAGGCTGAGCGGCGAGCTGCCGCAGCCCTGGCGCCACATGTGCGCGCTGCATCTCGCCAAGATGATCAGCAGGACGTTTTTCGAGAGGTGGGGCTTGGAGCCCTACAACCATATCGCGCCCTGCGATCCGAGCGCGCCGCGCGACGGTAATATGTTCCCACCAAGGGCTCATCATCATAAAATAGACAGTTCATAAATACACGCAATTATAATCCGGCAATAAATATATGAAGTGTATATTCGATGTTATAAAGAAAAAATTATTAACGCATTATTGATTATTTCAATAATTTATCAATAAAAACAGTGACATTTTTTTTTGAAAAAAAAAAAATCATGATGCTTATTCTTCAATGTAAACATTATCCTAGATTGCATAAATTTATGTCATGTACTTCATGAATATCTTACTAAGACTTTGTAGAAAAAAAATCAACGTATACCCTTTCTCACTTTATTAATAATGATAAACCATTGTAATTAATGTCCACTTATTTTATAATTCTGTTGTCGCTTTTTAAACTCGCTTTTCGTGCTCTAAATTATGTAACTTTATAGCTCTTTGACTCGCTCACTTTTTCATGTGAATTGAATTAAAATAAATTGGGTCCACGATAAATAAAATAAAAATTTGGAAAATCGATTTTTCTGAGTCTTTCAAACATCGTTTTAAATGAGACCAATCGACCACATCGAAATATGCTATGAGTGAAGGTATTCAGTTTTTCCAAGAAGACCATTTAAAAGTTAACATTTTTTACCCTAAAATTAAATTCCTAGTTAAAAATTCAAACGAAAGGATTTACAGAAACGTAAGAAATAAGTTTAACTTCTTCACCGCACTTTTTGACATGAGTAATCAATTTTAAACGTGACTTTACTGAAACTAGAAACACAGACGCGAATTGAATAAACAAATTAAATAAGAATTTTCAAGACCTAATTTTTTCACGAGTAACGTTAAAATCATAATAAATAAATGATCGCAGAAGCACGATGACTTATTCGAGATTAACCAATCTATCACTTTTCCAAATTTACAAATTTTACAAATTTCATTTCAGCTATATTTCGCATAGAGCCCTTGGGGTCAGACCGAGAAAACGAGTGACCGTCCGACCGCGGCCGAAACACGACCTGCTCCAATTTACGTCGACACACGTGGTCATACGCGCGCGTTGATATATGGAAATTCCGACTGAAAAAAGTGCAATATACAAAGCGCTTATAATGCACGCAAATTTATATGGTCTGTACGGTAGCGCGGCGCAGGCGCGCACCCCCCTCGAGACTCTCGCTCCAGCTTCAGCCAGAATGCAGTCTATTTGTCGGGAGTCTTCGGTGGTGCGGAGCGGCGAAGAGACAGTGGAAGACACAACGCAATACAACGCACCACTGCATGTCTGTCTGCCAGCCAGCGGCCAGACGATAACACAAGCGCTGCAAGCTGCTGCTGTGCAGAGCGAATTGCCTGTGTGTTCAGTGGCAATGTGACAGTCAGGAAGATGCCATACCGTCGGTGGAGTGAAAGTGTAACTCTCAGTCAAGCACTATCGTAGTATTACGTGGAGTCGGTAGAGAGAGAGACACTCGAAGAAATTTGGGGCGAGGACCTGCGTAACCTCGACTGAATCATATTTACAATTGAGTCACTATCAATTGCTACGACTCCATCGAGAATTGCAACACACAGTAGAGCTTACGTTATCATCGCCGCATGAAATTAAACTCGCCTGACACATCATCGATATCCGCGATATTATCTCCATAGCCGCACTGTACACTGTACTCTTCGTGCGTTTCCGTGTATATACACCTAGCAGAAGACGCGCACGCCTAAATGCAGCTAGTGTAGTGTAGTAGTGAGTGCCGTCGGCAGTAGTATTCGAATATATTGATAAGCGCGTCGTCGTCGTGTACTCGTGTGTATTATAGACAAAATATATATCTATATACTAGTGGCACCATACTACACACTAACGCACACGCGAGATTATGACGCGTCTCGTGGCCGCTACTCCAGTAGTGATTGCTTCGATTCAATTATTATTATTATCATCGCCGCCGCAGTCGACGATAGAGATCGACCGATCCATTAGAGCCTCGTGATTGCCTCCGATATAAATATTAGCGCGTTCGTATAGCAGACCGTGTGCGATGCCACTGCTCGCAGTAGCCGAGGAGGAATTCGTGCCATACAGTGCGTAGTTTTTATCCAAGTGTGTTAAGAGCGTGTGTGCTTGACCATGCTGAGTTTCGACTGATTTTTTTCTTGGTAAAATACTCTCTACCCTCTGTTGAGCAGGTACATTTGCGATTCTTCGATGACACAATATGTTACATTTTGATACGAGTTCTCATCTCTCTTGTGGTAAATTTTTTGTGATAGACAGGAAACATGTACGCCTTGCAAATGCAGACTGGTTGTCAGGGCGAGGGTGAGAACGAAGCCCAAACCGAGGCAAAGGTACAGATTGTAAATGAATGCAACGCAAAGTCGACCGTGCCAGACTGCAGCGGTTTTAACATTGTTCAGGCTACACAAGTAATATTTACTATTGTTTACTTAATTTTCATTATGATATGGTTTTACGATATTGAAATAAATTTTATATTTTTAGTATGGAGCGCTTGAACGAGTTCAAGAGCTGGTTGAGGCTGGCTACGATGTCAACGAGCCTGATGCAGAGACTGTTACTCTTCTGCACTGGGCTGCTATCAATAACAGAAAAGAAATTGTTAAATATTTCATAGCAAAAGGTGCTAAGGTCGATGCGATTGGAGGAGAGTTAGCTTCCACACCGTTGCATTGGGCTACAAGGTGGAGTTACCATTTATATTAGAAAATTTTTAATTAACTTTGTTCTAAGTTCATTGTGTTTCAGACAAGGCCACTTGGCAACTGTAGTCATCCTTATGAGAGCTGGAGCAGATCCTATGCTTAAAGATGCTGAAGGTAACTCCTGCATTCATTTGGCTGCTACTTTTGGACACACTGCCGTTGTTGCGTACCTTGTTGCTAAAGGTATCAACCCCAATACACCAGACAGAAGTGGAATGACACCTTTAATGTGGAGTGCTTACAAAGTCAAAAGGTACCTTTGCCTCTGAATAACCTTTAATTTTGCTCACATCCAGAAGCAGTTTTTAATGATTTTTAGTTTCCATTTGGTCTGCGTATATGTTTTTGTTTCAACCTATATGCTGTAGCTTTTGCACAAGAGTTGATTGTTCAGTGTTACCTCTGAGAAAATTAAAAACTGTTTAAAATAAGGCTAATAATTTTTTGTTAAGCTTTGATTATTTTCACAGCTTAGACCCCACGCGATTACTCCTAACATTGGGAGCCTCCCATAGTCTGACAGACAATATGCATGGAAATACTGCACTGCATTGGGCAATAATAGCAAAAAATGCCTCAGCCATCAGAACATTGGTCCAATTTGGAGCATCGCTTGATGTTCCAAATTTAAAAAATGAAACACCAATGAAGTTATTACAACCTCACATTGGATCAGCTTGGTTGGGACATAAATTTAGTAATGAAATTAGACAAAAACAAAATCCAACTCGTGTTTGGTGCCGTGATAAAGTGAGTAAGAAATACATTTGAATTTCTTTTTTTTTTTTTGAAAATCACTTCAAAATTACCAATTTTTTCAGAGAATTCGTTGGTACTGTATGATAGGTACACCTTTTATAGTATTTTATATGGTTGGAATGATTTTCCAAAGCGGCCTAGATTACTTGTTAAAGATAATCGCCTTTGTTGTTCTTTATCTTGCAATTTATGCTGCAAGCAATTATCTGTACGATGAGCGACTGTATTATGTGCTGCCGATGTCAATTTATTTAGCTACTAAGGTATCTTTTCCATTTAATCAATACCTGTTTTATAAATATCACCAATAAAAAATTTTTATAAAAAAACGAATTGTTTAAAATAGATGTGGATTTATGTTACTTGGATGTTCTGGCTTGGTATGCATGCATCATGGTACCTATGGCTCATGCTAGTAGGTGGTTCAGTTCCTTTATGGATTTGCTACATAAAGTCTTGGCGTGGAGATCCTGGAATTGTCAAGGGTACCCACGAAGATAAACTTAATGTAAGTAATTGAAAAGTGTAATTTAATTTCAAAATAATCAAAATGATTTCTTTTTTCAGTGTATTATAGAATTAGCTGAAAATGGTGGTTTTGATCATCAAATATTTTGCCATACTTGTTTAGTACGTAAGCCAATTCGATCAAAACATTGCTCGGCATGTGATGTTTGTGTAGCGAGATATGATCACCATTGCCCATGGGTGAATAATTGCATAGGTACATTAAAAGTTATTTTCATAACTTGAATTTTGAAAGAAATTACTATATCTGTCTATTTCAGGGGCTAAAAATCACAAATATTTTATTGGATTTTTAATGTCTCTCTTGGGCTTATGTCTTGTAGTTATGGCTGCCAGTATAAGATATTGGCAGTTTGAATGTTGGACCGATTTAACAGATACTCACTCTGCAGACAATTACTTGGTAGCAGCAGCAACCTGTGATGCTTGGATAATGTGGGTTACCGTCAATACATCTCTACACGCATTTTGGGTCGGTACCCTCTTAGCGTGTCAGTGTTATCAGGTAATTACAAAACTGAATTGCAAAGAAATATTGATCTCAATTTCATTGACTCAATTTTAACATTTTTCTCCTTTCTAGATCATGATATTAGGAATGACTACGAACGAACGTATCAATTCGGGACGTTACAAACATTTTGCCAACGGTAACCCATTCCACAGAGGCGCCTTACAAAATGCCGCAGACTTTTGCGAATGCGGCCTGTGTGGCTTTCAACCGAAACCCAGTGAAGATTGGCTACACAGTTACGACTTGAAACATAGTATAGAAAAGTTGCCTTTACTTTTACAAAAAGACAGTTATCAGTACGTTTAAATGATGAATAATCTAGCGCCAAAGTGGCGATTCTAGTGTTATAAATTTGAATGACGAGTTACGAAAAGTGTTTCCCAAATACCAAAACCAATTAGTGTATTTCGGATAACGAGAAAATGAGATGTTAACGGTTTTACTAATCTAGTCATCGAATACTGCGACATTAACTCAGTATTGTACTCGTTAAGATAATAACCATGATCATATCATGCTAATGATATCCTAGAAATAAGTTTTTTGCGTAAAATTGTGCCATTGCAATATTATTCAATGTTCAATGAAATAACTGCTTGGCCAGATTGTTTGTATTAACTTATTGATAATGTAAATAACGTAAAAAAAGCTTATTCTTCAAAGCAATTATATCTAAATAAACGGATTCTGATGTATTTTATGCGAACTATTGTACCGGCTCACAGCTTGAAATTCGTCATTTGACAGTTATGGAATGATGAAGATGTAACGATAAAATTGTATATTAATGTAATTGCCTTTGTAAAGCAATACTAGAAAGACTCGTGCTTTAAAAAGGTAATTTATTCGTAATTTTGTAGTATATTCTTGAAATGACTGAGACAAGACATAATGTTCATAAAATCTTTGCCTATAAATGAGTTTAATCTAAGGTAAATTATTGAAATCCGGTGAAAACTTTTAGTCAAAGATTTAACATTTATTATTAGTTAGTAAGGAGCTTTGTGTACTCTATTTAAATTAAGAATTGATACTTTCAAAAGTTATTATACTGCGAACAAAAAGTTTTTTTGTATTAAGTAATACTAAGTCTTCTAAAGGCATGATTATACTTGAATTAAGTATTTTATTATTTGTGAAAAATCATTTTGGAAAACTACCTTTTTATCCGAAAAAATTTTAATTTTAATAATTCTACAGTTAAATTTTTTTTACTTTGAACGATTGATCTACTCAAGAAAATGTAGATTGTAATTAATGATCATTCCGAAAAGTTTGAAAAAAGTCTATATGTATGCAATTCTTCTGCACTCTCTAAGTGTGAAACTTCTTCAGATTAATACAAAAGACGTGAAAAATCGTTTATTTTGCTTGAAATGTAATTTAATACGAGTATTACCAATTTCTACAAATATTGAGGTGTCATATTACGATAAAGTTAACCGAAATAAATATATTTCATTTTACTGTAATGATCAAGACAGATCTCTTTATAAACGTAGTAAAAACAACTGAAATAATGATCAAATTGTACTATTCTGTGATTTTTTAATATTGTAAGATTGGAAGCTCGCATGACTGGTTGCACAAGAATATTTAGTTTACCGTAATAACGATGATTTCATAATACAAGACAACAAAGACACCGATTAAAAATCATAACCCACTTTACGAGGTGAAAAAATGTACTATACTCAATATTTTACCGAGCGGATTGTAGTTGCTTTTTTGTAATTCATCTTTTACTACGTTGAAATTTCCAAGAAAATAAACTTGATAATAAAATCTGTACACTTGTAGAGCGTGTGAAGTTGAAATGTCACGTCATGCCATTTTTTGTGGTTTTTATGACTGTTTGAAAATTGCGTGAAAGGAAGAAAAATAAATAAAAATAAACACGAATTGATCGAGGCAAAAAGTGTCGAGTGCGGCTCGAAGTCGCATAAATATTGCTGCCATCGATAAGTAGTTTACTCGTTATCATTCATATCAGTTTTCTCTATGGATGTATACAAGCATCGTATCTATATAGAAAACAATACAATGATAATACTTGTTGTCTGATGCTCTTATTCTAAATTACCGTAAATAATAAAAAAATTAAGAATACTGCATAATATGGTTTTATACAGATTATAAAAAGAAATAAATAAAAATAGCTTTGAAAAATTCCAATGTATACTGCGTCGTATTGTTCGATGATGATCATACACCTTACGAACAATTTCACGTCGATTCTTTCTCTGATCTTTTGATAGTTGCGGTTATACAGCAGGATGTCTGTTTACGTTTTGTATTATACTTTTATCATTTTTAAATGGTTTTGAAAGTTTTCGATCAAGCTTATCATGGTTTCCGATCACGATGTCCAGTCCACAGATACACTGGACACTTCCCATGCGTCATCCATTCAGTCCGATTATTCGCAAAAGAACGGCCTCACGTCGCCTAACTGCGAAAAGGAGCCCAAATATTTAGGTAAAGTATCACACACGGATGAAATTGTCGTTTTTATGTAAAAAAAAAATACATTATGATCGCTTTCAAGGATGTTTCTGCGATGTGAAGTTCATTCCGTGCTCGGCGGTTAATTCGACTCTCAGTCCAACACAATTGACGAATAGTCAATGCCCTTGTCAACAAGATCAAAAAAACTCGTAAGGTTTATAATTATAATAATTGATTATCAGACACTTTTAAATAAAAATTAACATTGAGGCTAATTCACTGCGAAAAGAAATAATCCTTCTGTCCACAAGCATATCGAGAAGAAATCGTTGCAAAGTAATCCCAAATCACCTCGATTATCAAAAATCGAAAAGCCAGAAAAGGTCTGATATTGACTTAATTTTTACATTTTTATTGTTACATCTCCGATTGAACATTTTATTTTTAAATAAAAGAATCGGGACAGCGTGAGCGTCAAGATTCGGGATAGTGTAAATAATAAGAATCGGGACAGTCTAAACAACAAGAATCGGGATAGTATGAACACCAAAAATCGAGACAGTATGGGTAGCAAAAATCGGGACAACACGAAGAGCAAAATACCAGATGAACCATTCAAAGTTCAGGTTGACGCGCCGAACAACGAAGAGGCGGAAAAAGTGGAAATTTACTACTTCGATCACGGAAATTCTGCGTAGGCGCGATATCTTGCATTTTCTTTCCTCGACTCACTATCTGTGTAAAATCAATTTCCTGCACTATATAGCTATTATCACACGACCGACATGCCACCGGTGCTCAACACCGATAAGTACGCCGACAAAGGAAGCGCCGCCGCGACCAAATTCTGGGCCCGAATATTCGGCCTGCTTCACATCGGCACGTCCTTCGTGATCGCCTTCGTTCTGCAGCTGCTCCGTTTCGTCCTCTTCAGTCTCGTTCGTCCGCTCACGATCGGCGTGATACAGCTGCTGTCGGACTACTTTCTCAAGCCTCTGCTCACCATCATATTCAACGGCTTTCTGCAGCCGTTTTTGATACTCTTTTACAACATCGCCACCTCGTTTCGCGACTGCTGCGAGCCTCTGGCAGCCGCCGTAGGTTTCTACATCAAAGAGCTCGCCGTGCTGTTCAGGGCTTGTCGATTGGTCGAGGTGAATCAATACCCGTCGAGCTGCAACACGTGATTATCGACGTCGAAGTTAAGCGGGTATAAACATCGACATACGTGAAATGAAAACGCAATTCAGAGCTGTGATTCAACACCAGGTATATATTTGTTTGCTTTTTATCTTTTCTCCTTATAACTTTACAATATTTATTATCATTTTTTCTTTCTCTGCGCATTAATTTATTTTCACTTTTTTTGTTACTCGTTAACTGATTTGCCTTTTTTGTTTTGTTCATTTTAATTGTTTTTTTTTATACAGAATCAATCATCGGTTTTTTATCTTTTTATAATAATTTTTTTTTCATTAGCACTCTCACTCTCGTAGACTTTATCAGACAATCATTCTCATCATACCTTACACGTGCTTATACAGATTGTTTGTTTGTTGTTTTTCTTAAAAGTTGTTGCTTTCTTATAAGTATCTTAATCATTTGTTTTTTTTATGTATAATCGCTCGAGCTTGGTATTCTCTTTCGCCTAACATACATGTTTTTTTTTCTCTCACTCTCACAGAAAAATTATGTACAATTGTTATACTGCATTATTGACCATAACAAGCATACAAACAGACACGAGATCGTCGTCATTCATTCCACGCACGCACGCAGTTACACACACGCGCGCACAAAATTAAACAAAGGAACCTAATTACATTTTTTCATGTATAATAATATATTTATCCTTATAATCATCATTGACAACTCGTGTACAGTAGATTTCTTTAAACTCTTTTTTTTTCTTGCATCGTGATTAGCTATTTACAGGTACTACATTTGTATGTTGTGTTTTTTTCCTTCAATTCTGTTTCTTTACTTTATTTGTTTTTTTGTATCTTTCATAGAATTCTTTGTTCCTAGTAGAGAATTAGTTACTTTTTTTTTCTTAATGCGATGCTATCTTTCTCTCTTCTTATATTATAAATTACAGTATACAACAGTATTATTGATCACACTGTCTTCATCTTTTATTTACAGCGAGAAAAACACAGAGTCTCGACATCTGTCCGATGTTAAAAAGTGTATAGTAACAGCGCACGAAATCTCTCGCACGCGTCCCGCAAGTGAATTGGTTTTTCTTTTCTTTTTTTTTTGTGTTGTTGTTGTGTGTTTTTTCTCCGTTGAGGCAAATTTCGTCGGGGGGCAATCGACGAGATAAAAAGGCGGAGAACAAGGAGAGAAAGACAACATTCGTGGAGCATGTGTGTAAATGTAAGTGTATACGTATGCATGCGTGTCTGTCTGTCGGTGTATCATGTACGCGTATGTGTCCACGTGAATTGTATAGTGTCGAGGCTCGTGTGTCTTGTGTGTGGATATAAACATCTAATTTGAAGGAACTGCGGGCGGCAACGTCCAAGCGCCGCTCATCTCTCTCTCTGGGAACAATGACCCGAGAAGAGGAGGAGGAGGAGGAGTAGAGATCTATGTGCTGGACATCGTCGTCGTGGTAGCCTCGGACGTCGCCGCGCTACTACCACCGGCCGAAGTAATCGACGAGTTGGCTGCTGCTTGCTGCTGCTGTTGGTCCAGCTTGCCGCTCTGCTGCTGCTGCTGCTGCTGACCACCGCTACTACTATTGCTATTGTTCGAGGTAGCAGCATCGCTTGAACCTACTGAAAATGGCCCTGTTTAGATCAACGATACAGCCACCGAGGTAGCGGAAGAAGAAGGCGGAGCGGGAGGAGGACGCGGCTTGCTTACCGAGCAGAGCAGCCTCCAAGTCGTGGAGTATCTCCGTCTCCTTGGCGTCGATCAGGTTGAAGCGCTGATTGAGAAGACTGAGATGGGCGAAGACGCAGTTGAGGTGCACGTGCAGCCCGAGCTGCGTCACCTCGCGAAAGTGATTGTGGTAGATGTGCGCTATCACGTGGTAAAGCAGTCGCAGGATCTTGCGCACTATCGACTCGAACGAGCTGGGAAATTCGTTGGCTGTGAAAACACACACGCAGAAATGATTTTGATGAGTGTTTTTTTTATTTTTTATAAGATGTATGTAGTAAATAAAAACTGATGAAAGTTTTTTTTTTTTTTTTTATAAAATGCGAGTACGCGTACCATATTTAGTGGGAAATTGGGCCTCGTCGCTGACGGTCCTCTGCGTGAACGTCATGACGTAGTCGATATATTGAGGCGCCGCCACTTTTGTCTTTTTGCCCTTCTCGTCGAACCACAGATACGTCCTGCAGGCGAGACGAATAATTATATATATAGCCAACGAGCTCTCGAGATAAAAGAAAAGAACGATCCAAAAATGTTCGTTCAATTTACCTGAAGCCGGGCCCCGTCATGTCCGGGCAGCCGACCGGCGTGCAGAACTCCGATATCGCCCCGTAGAGCAGATTGATGTTCTCGAAGAGTGCGATGGTGTGCGAGGCGAGCCACTCGTTGTAATCGATGCCCGACGGCAGGTCGACGAGCACCTTCATGTCCACGTCGGACAGCTGTCGCTCGAGGGCAGCCTCCTCGAGATACAGTTTCGGATCTTCCGTTGTTCCCGCATCTTTTTCCTTTCGTCGGGCTTTTCTGCAAATGGATAGATCGAAGATCATTACGGATGCGGAATACACTTTCACGTATACGATAATTTCCAAATCAGCTCTATGATAATCATTAATATTATATGCATTAAAAAAGAAAAGAAGAAGAAAAATAAGGAAATCGTGTGAATAAGTGTGTAAAGAGAGGGTTTGTGTATATATATTACGTCGTTATGAAATAGGTAGGGCACTTGTTGGTGTAAAAAAAAGGTACTACGAGTTTGCCCAGAAATTCCAGAAAATCGGCGGTGGTCTCCGGGGTCGGCACCCAGGACCAGGGCTTGCTCGGCGACTTCACCTCGCCCTTGGAATTCTTCGAAGTTTTCGAGTCGTTCGAGGCTACCGAGGCTTCCGAAGCTGCCGATGCTACCGAGACGTGTGAATTACTCGAGTCTTCCAAGTCGGTCGGTCGGTCCGTCGAACCGTTCAGATTCACTTGTTTCAATTGGTCCTCCATAGTTCTTATTTATGATTTAATATTTACGTGCGACTTAACGAATGGCGATCAAGATTACGACTATTGCCATTATCTATAGTTCACACAAAAAATAAATAATAAATAAAAATAAAATGATAAAGTAATAGAAACCCAACATATCGTGCGGTGTGTATAAAATACGAGAGATGGAGATATGGAGAGAGAGACAGAGCCAGAGAGAAAGAGAGAAAGATCCTTTTTCAGTGGTTAACTTCTAATGTAGGGACGTTTATTTGTCTGTGTATGTATAATCACATCTATATGGTATTAAAATTATGCAACATGCACAGCATTTCAGTTTTCGTTCGTAACAAGCAATTATAATGAAAAAAAGTAGAGTCAACTAAGCACTAAACTATTTGCGGCAACATCAAAGCTTTTTTTTTTTTAATTTGAATTTTCTTCTATATTATATATTCAGCGCACACCCAGGCGCATTCCGTCACGGCGCATCGCATCTAAATATATACGATACAAGATATATCACATAACAAAGCGCATCAGCAAACATCGAGATTCAACTAAGTCTTGCTTGGAATTTTGTACTTTTTGTTTTTTTTTCATTCATTTTATTTAATGGTATATCATTTGAAGAGAAACTCACGCGACGAGCTCGCTGAAGGCGCGTATTTTTCGATGGCAGGTGTCGAGGAGCGATAAGCGCGACGAGCCGCCGCTGCCGCTGCAGCCGCTCGCCGCGTGCTGGTGATGTGGATGATGGCCGTGGCCGTGGACCGGCGTCGCTGGGGCCGACGCCGACGAGGACGACGAGCTGTGCGACGACAGGATCGTCCCCCGGCCGCCCGACGATCTCAGCATGATCGTCGTATTTTGTAATATAAGTCTCGCCTCGCTCTCTTACTTATTTTTCAATTTATTTCTTTTTTTCTTTCTTTCTCGCAATTATTTATCCTCGATTTCCTATGACAATGAGTGATATCGACTTTCTCTCTGTGTATATATCCCCGTTTTATCCTGTCTCTATGTACTTTGGTCTATGGTAATTATCGGCACGGTCCGGCAGAGACGCCGCTGGCGGCTGTAGTAGCTGCTGCTGCTGCTGCTTCTGCCTCAACGTGTCTGGACATCGTACATGCTATACATTAACTTGTGCGGCAGATCGAGCGAGGCGCACTGAAACTGTAAAATTTTGATGCTGCTCGAGTGACATGATGGATAAATAGACCTCGAAGAAAATCACCGCTTCCTTTTTCCGAGGTGTCAATGTTTAATTGGAAAAGTCTATTTTTTTGGTTTTCTAATCGACGATGCGAATAAAACAAGGAGAGACGAGAGAGATAGAGAAGCGTTGTACATATATAGGAAACGTTAACCGAGTATTTATGTAATACATTTGCCTGGCCTGCGAGTATGACCTTCGTGTACAGGCACGTTATCCCCAAACAATCGATACGTCAGCTTATTAACGCGTTGACCCGTAGGGATTATACGTGTGTGTGTGTGTAACGGGGGAGAGGCAGACATATAGTAGAGATCGAAAATCGTTGACTTCGTTAGTCAATTTTTCATATCGAAACATTATCTGACGGACGGCATAATGCCCGCGCGATCGAGTAATTGAAAACCACCGAACGAACGAACACTGACGATGATGACGACGATGACGATCATTGGCATATAAGAACGAAGCTTTTAATTAATCGATCGAGCCGAGTCCCTCGTTATCATCATCCCCGGAGACAAAGGCTATTTCTCTCTCTCTCTCTCTCGCGTCTCTCTCCGTCTTTCCAGGCACGCACACGCGAAACTTGATCACTGGCACGATCTGATGCTGGCTCGCAACAACAAAAAAGGGAAAACCGAGAGTATAGTATACACCAGGCGTCTTAACCTACAGCCCTTCTCACATCACTGTACTACTCTGCTTTATATTTGCCGCACGCACACGCGAATACACTCGCTAGAAACAAAACGGAGAGAGAGAAAAAAAAAGAAACAACAAACTCCCCGCAGACGACGCGTATAAAGAATTCACGCGCGGCATGTGTATACCGCCGCGAGCTACTCCGTTTCTCTCTGCTGGGAGGGCGATTTTTCTCTCTTTCTCTGCCTATCTATCTTTCTCTCGCGAGATCTCTCTCCCTTGTATTGTACTATTAACGATATATATGTATTCGACTTACTGGTAACTGGCGACGGCGCAAACTGAGGGCAAAACAGAAAATTTTTGAAACGAAATCGTGTGTGCGCGAGACGTCGCTCTCTCGCGAGCTTACATGTGTGTGTGTGTGTGTGTGTCTGTGTGTATCGTGGATTTAAACTTATACATGTGTGTTTGTATATATACGATCGTATCTCCCTCTTTCTCTCTCTCACTCTTGAACTGGGTCAATACCACCTAGCGCGCGAGCTTGCGAAAGCACAAAGTGTGCGACCTTCGAATCAGTGAGCTTTTATTTATACGCTGGGCACGCGCGCGCGCGCGCGCGAGCAAGTAAAAAGATGATCGATTTTTTTCGGGGGCAGGTTTTCATACGTCACATTGAGTGTAAAATGATTCTCCTACACAGGAGATGAGAGGCAAAGTTTTCCGATGAGAATAAACAACAACAGCAACAACAAACACAGAAGTTGAAGTAGTAGAGAAGAAACTCGCGAAAGAAAGCGCGACGAGACTACGGCGCATAGGAGAACGCGGCTTGCGCGCGCGAGAAGGAGAAGAGAGGAGACACGAGCACTCGCTTATACTTGCTGAATCTGTACTTGTGTGTGTGCGTGTGTGTGGTTGAAGCGGCGCGCGCATATCGTGTAAATATATATATGTGTATACACAACGATATATGTATATATGCGGAGGATCCGATCAGCTGTTTTCCAGCAGCAGTAGCAGCAGGAGAATATATATATGCCGCACGTACACCGTCAGCTGATACTGATGTGCGCACCACACGCGTAATGCATATACCGTACATATATTCTCGTGCGTATGGGCTTTGTACTCTTTGAATGTATGTGTTCTATACTGGCATATACTCCATATTAATACATGCTCCACAGAGTGAGTCTGCGGATAAATTGTATCGTATGCGTGTATTATATACATTTGAATTCGCGTGCCGGGCCCCCCCCCCTCCCACTATATATTATACTCCCTTTTTTCTTTCTACTCGTCTCCTTTTTTACTCCTCTCTTTTCTACTTGAATAATGCACTCGTGTGTGCGCACACGCATCGTATATAGTTACAATTCGTATATACATACGTAGCGGAGAATAGTATGCGCGAGAATTGCGACAATCAATGCGCGCATATATGTAACGTTGAATTCGGTACATACGTTATGTAGCTCTTTCTGCTCTCTCTCTTTATCTTTCTCTCTTTTCTGCTGCTGCCGCCGCCGCCGCTACGTGCACAAGTGCGCAGTACACGCCAAACGCTCTGCTGCTGTGTGCCCATACACCTGTGTGTGCTTTACTGCCTGTACAACTCCCTGTGTATGTATAAAGCTCCCTCTTTGACGTGAATTTCTCGTATTATTATAACGACGTGAAAATCTCAAAAAAAGCTCGTTTTATCGATTTCTTTCTCTCTCTCTATTTCGTTCTCAGTTTTCCTGCTGTGAGAAGAGCCTGCGGAGAATGCGATAACAGCGCCTTGGCGCCTCGTCGACTCTGTCTCTCTCTCTCTACACGACGTTTACTTCTTTTCCCATTGTATTATGGGGATAGTAGTCTAGCTTTGAGCTGAACTGTCTCTCTTTCTATTAAAGCCGATTTGTAACAAAGGTAGTATAGTTGCGATGCGAAGGACAAAGATGTGAAATGTATCGAATTTCGTTAGTTTAATTATGTGCAAAATGAATGAAAAATAGAGATTGTTATGAGAAATCAAAATGTGTGAATACGAGCGTGTTGTTGACTCTACCGAAGTTTTCGCATGTAATAATATGCGCGCACACACAAATTTCGCAAGTGTATTGTATACTCTTTTCATCGTCCTCTGTCTCTCTTTCATTCTTGTCGTGTAACGACGACGACGACGGTTAATTGTGACGCGAAAACAATACACACGGCCATTGTTGTTTATTATCGTTGCAGTGCACAACGCGACTACGACGGCGACGACCCCTGACTGCGCGCCTAAAGAGCGTCCGAAGAGAGACGCGCGAGCTTTTATCGAGCTTGCAAGCTCGCAGCCCACGCGAAATTGAATTGTTTAAGCAGGCGTGCGCTATTTATATTGGGTGTATCCGTTATATAGTATACATCGAATCGGCTTCGAGCGAGCCGAGGATAAATACATCCGCAGTGCGCTCGAAGGAACTGGAAAGAAGAAAATAGCCCCTACGCCGCGATAGCAGAGTAATATACCCGAGAAGAAGCATAGTAAGAAACCGATGGTGGATCGTTGCCAACTTACGTTGTACTACGGGGTGCATCTCTCTCTCTCTCTCTCTTTCTTTGCGCTACTGTGCACGCACACATTCACATGCACACACACACACACACACACACAAACGGCGCATTTATTATATCATAGGCCCGAACGCCGCGGAGAGAAGTCGTAATAAATCTACTCGCGTGGTGCGGATCTTTAGATCTGGCCCGCGCCGTGTGAGCGCGCCTCTATAGTGCGCAGTGCAGTGTGCATCTAGCCGTGGAAAAAGGGGCTTCGTGTTGCAGCAGTACAGCACACTACTTACTGCCCGTTTATGTACACGTTTGTGTGCGAGTCGGTGTGTCTACGTGCCCCGCACTACTGCCGAAAAAGGATTATATTATACCAGTCGCGCGGCCAAGATTTCCTTTTAACGGTATATACGTATATATTGCCACGAAAAAAAAAAAGAAAAGGTTCGCGTTCGCTCGTATGCCGCTGCTCGCCTTTTGCGAATTATATATTCTCTCTCTCTCTCTCTCTGTCTCTTTCTATACATATATATTGCGGAATTATGAGCGCGAAGACCCACTTTTTTCACTCGCGCACGTGTGTGTGTGTGTGTGTGTATGCTGTAAGCACATACATCATGTTACGTGTGAGAGTGTGTGCGTTGTCTTGCTGCACTGGACATCGACTCGATGTGTGCCATATTTTCGCTTACACACACACGCGCTAGTGTTCGCCATTCAGTGGAAAACAATGCGATAGATAGAAGAAGAGGTCGAAAAAAAAAGAAAAAATAATATAGATTATACATATAGTGAGCCAAATACAAAACATAAAGTCGCGCGTATAGTATGTACGTATAGCCGCCGATCGACCGATACCAGAGACGCTCGGTGGTACTGGAGCATCGATTTTTCTCCTTTCTCCTCCTCCTCCTCCACCAACGTCACCTCCTTCTTTCGTCTATATACACCACGTATATATATTATTTATTCTTGCTTCGACTTGCGTACCTACCTATACATACCTCGAGCGCGAGCTTAAGAGTTCCGCCCGTGTACTGTATGCACACGTATTGCACATATAAAAGAGAAGGAGAGAGAAAAATTTTATTGCAAGTTGATATCCGACGGTGAACATGCGTTATAGTATAGGTACGTGAGACGAGCTTGTGCGGCGCATTCGTATATATTTTTTTCGGACGAACGACGTACGCGAGCAACGGCAGCAACATAACGGGAAACGCGGAAAGTAGGGGGCTTAAATTTAATATCCCCGATAATGCGTATATGGCTTTCTCTGAGAGAGTAAGAGACTTGGCATTCGAGTTGTTTTATATACACACACGGGTGCGTACTTGTCGTTGTTACACATCGAGCAACAATGAGATTTACCTCGACCTTCCAAAGTTATTTCGAAGCAGGTAATACCCAGCCGGCCCGCGCTGCACAATGAAAATCCAGAACTGCGAAATACGTCATCGTAATTCCGCTTAAATGGCCGCCGCAACGACCCCGACGTACTGTATATGTAATACGTTTGTGTGCGCGGCACAAGTCAATGATGGCTGAAGAATATAAGCCACCGCCTTCGTCACCGCCGCAACGCGAGAAAGAGAAAACGAGAATTTTCCGCGCGCGGTACTGTGTTTTTTTTTCTTTTATGCTCTTAGAGATAAGAAAGGAGGAATAAAAAGAAGGAGAGCGTGTATACTAGGGTTTTATACATATATGTATAAAAAATATGCATGAAAAAATGTGCGACCCCGAGAGAGAGTCTGCCGCGCTTCAAAGG